TAAGATTTGTTTTAAATAGCATTGGTAAGAGGAGCGCTACAAAGCTTAAGAAATTTATATGGGTCGTCTGATTCTGTAATAAGGCAATGTACTCTATCTTATAAGAACCGTGATATACAGGTAATCAAAAGATCATCGATCACTACATTTGTTGTTGTTTTCAGCGCTTTTACTTGTTTAACTTGAATAGAGACTAACAACATAGGACAGTTCTTTTAAACACTATTAGCTATTATGAGGCATAGTAAAAACTAAAAATTATAAAAAATATGGGATGGTGAATTCTTGCTACATGACAGAAAAAAAAATTGTGTGAAAATTGGTAAGTGGGATCCTTTTTCAATATTAAGCCGCATGTAGAAAGTGATATATTCAATATTTTTCTTAAAAGATTAGTTTTGCATTTTTATAACTATAACTTTCAACAGCGTTTGGGTTCGAAGACACGTCAAACATCAATTTAAATAATATTTTACTAAATTTTATTTTTAAGTCAATTTTGACGAATGAACTAGGTCTAGGATTAAACAATTAAAAAACAGTTATTAGTTCTAATATGACACAACAAACGAATTTGTTATTGAACTTTCACAACAAATTTATAATAGTCGAAATTAGAAAAATACAAATATAACTTTGGATCACTGACTCTGAGCTTCAAATTTGACAGAGAACATGTTCAATCCTTGGTATAAAATAAATTATTTATGAATAATTATATATAAGAAATATTTTCAAAAGGACTAATAATGTTAAATATTTGGTAATTTAAATACTGGCAATGCTCAGAACAGCTGTATGAACAGCTAAAAATATAATTAATTATTAACAAAATTTTGAAAGATTAAAGGATTTGGTACAAAATTTATATTTTGATTTTATTCGTTTTTTCAGGAATGCTTTCTTTTGTTAACCTGTGTTCTGTTAATTTTGAGAATGTATTCCCCTATCTATAGTTTTTTTTCATTACTTTGACCCAAGATCAATGCTTGAAGCACTACACTTTAAAGTGATAACCGCAATATTTTTTAAATCTTACATATTTTATTTAATATTGTTTTTCTTTCTTTTTCAAAGGATGATCAAAGTGAATCAAAGTAATGCTTATACAAAAAAAACAAAGAGAAGAACTTAATGGATGTGAGAGTTCTGCGTTTTTTAAGTGGTGATTATTGCGAACAAAAAATTATATGAATTATCGATTTTTTAACAATAAAATGCAAAATATTGTAACACTCTTAATGCCCAATAAATTAAATACAACATAATGCTTGACTTGCTTATTTAAAATTTTAAACGCTACTTACATCTGATTTCACCTATTTTGATGTACAAATCTCCAGTTATCTCATGGCTCTATACCTATTTTCATGGTTATCAACCCATCCCGGACTCGGTGTAGTAGATACACCATCCGGAAAATTCTACTTTTTTTATTGTGCCCAGGTCCATACCCAATCCAAAGTATTTTATAGATAGTAGTAAAACAAAACTACCTAATAACGTCTTTGGAGATATGAAGTCATATCTCTAGTTTTGTTTGACATATTGAAAATAGTTTCTGTATACCAAAAGAATATAATATTAATACATATGTTTATTAATATATAATATTAAATTTGCTTCAGACACGTTAATAAACTGCAACAAACATCAGAGTATTTTGAAAAGTACTTTAGGAATATCAAGTTTTTAAGAAATATTATATCATATTTTTAAAACTCTTTATTTAGTGCTTGTTATAAGTACATAACATTTTATTTCTAAAGAACATTGGAAAATTACTATGTAAGAAATCTGGAACCATCTTGTGAAATAAGCAAAATCATCATATAAAAAATAGGTAGTTTAACAACTGGCAATTCTCATGCTTATATTAGTATTGCAATGTTATTTGACTTATCCATCTCATTATATTAAAGATATTCACTATGTCATGAAAACTCATTGCAAAGTACACGAAATGAACAGATTGCGCGAGATTACAATGGACAAGAATGGACAAGATATACGCATAAAGTTTCTTACTATTGCTTGCAATTGTGCTATACCTAAACTTTTGTATGCATGCTTGCAACGAAGCAAAAAAGGAAATAAAACAGCTGTTCTGACATCTGCTATTTCTCATGTGGATATGGTATGCTGCAAAAACAGCTGTTTCATGTTGATCTTGCAATATTAGCAACAGAGATGTTCTCCCACGCTTGCAATTTCAGTATATCATTCTTGCATGTCGTGCACCTTGCAATATTTTTACAGGACAGAGTAAATACCCCTATTATTTTATTTGCATTGCACAGAATATATGGCATTTAAAATAGTAGAAGATTTCAAAGGCCGATGTAAAGAAAATAGAGTATGATAGAAAAAAAATTTCTGACAATAAATGTTAAAAAAATATAAAAAAAAATGTTGAAAAAAATAAAGAAATTAATTTTATTGGAAATAAAAGTCTTGGAACATTTAATTAGACATGAAAGTAATCAAAACGCAGATATATTAGACATCAGTTTAAAGTACATAATATACTACAAATTAATATTAATATTAGTATTAGTATTATAATATAGTAATATAAAAGTTAACCAATTCCGATAAACATTTTTAATTAAACGATTATTCTTTCTAAATACATACTATAAATAGATTGTTCTTTTGAAACATGCATGGGAATAGTATTAATTTTGTTTTACTACTCGTAGTACCTACAGTTAAAATATGGGACATATACAAAAAATTTGCTTAAGGTATTAATATAAATATTAAAAACTTAACAAAGAAACTAACAATCTTTATGTCAAAAATTTATTTAAATAATAAAAAATAATTTAAATATTTTCCAAATATGCAGCAATAATTATTAATTTTTATAGCATAATTTTTCGGAAAATGGCCAATTTTATATATATCACAGATCATATTTAAGCGATTCTTTTCAGTTATTTTTTAAAATAATTGGCCTTCAAAATTAGAATGTGTTCACTGCAATAAATTTGTATAAATCCATCAAAGGAATACTCTATTGCTGAATTATTAATAAAAACTATGAAAACTTAATTTGCAATAATTTATTACGACCATTTTTGAAGAAAGTTAAAAGAACAACGAAGAGGACTTTCGGTAAGTATTATAATTTCTTTGTATTTTGTTAATTAATTGTAAAAACACAATTAAAGTTATTACAGTAATGAAGTATATTTTTGATAGTATGTGAATCAATTAAATAGAAGTACGAATGTATCTAAATTTGTCATTAAAAGTTTACAAGAATATAGGCAGACAATATGTATTATCAATGATTATACATTATTTATTTAATAATCAAATAAAATTTTCAAAAATTGTTGATTGCAGAATCCACTGATTTCCTTTACTCCGCTACATTTGTATAAAAATAACATTTACAGGTCATACAATTTCTAAAAAGCAAAGAATAATTATCATACTATATAATGAATAATTGGTAAAATCTAGCCATCCATGTTAGATAATATATATATATCTTTTGAGTAGTACTAAAAATGCTCTCTTAATAATACATTATGACTAGAATATTTAATTTTGAATTCGATGTAAGTATATTTGTTTATCTACAACTTAAATAATAAAATTTCATTAAAATAATTTATCAAGCAAGCTTACCTCTCTAGCATTGAATATGTAGACCAGGCGTAAATCTGAAAAAGATAAAAATAAGAATATAAGATACAATTATATATAATAAAAAAATATTGGAAAACAAGAATAAAATAAATAAATTAAGCAAAGAGAGGGAAGACATTAAGTGAGCATTGCATATTTAATAACTAAAAGGTTGATTAAGAAGTCTATTAATTATTATTATTATTATTTATTATTATTAATTATTATTATTTTATTAAGAAGTCTGTTACAGTATATAAGATATTTTATTAAATTCCTTAATTACGTGCTAGAAAATTAAGGAATATATATTTTGAACAATTTTTAAGGCTACATAAAAAATTAGTACTCGATGAAGTACTCGATGGAAACAATAAGCATCCCCAGATAATAAAGTTTTTTGTTTTATGATTTTACGTCTTTCTCTTGATTATCCAATTTAATATACTTCACAATATTTAGTAGTTATTATTACTGTTTATATATATTTATTCAAGTAAGATCACACAATATTAAAACTATTATTAAACTCTAAAATTTTTACAGAATCCAGATTCAGCAATGGGGTCCCCATGTGAAGTAAGTTTCGTTAAAACAAATTAATTTTTTATGTGAAATTGAAAGCATTGCATTGTATTAAATTACTATTTATTTTTATATGTTAAATTTCGATACCAATTACTTTTATCTATATATAAAGTTATTTAAAGTTTTTAAGGGTTTCCCAATTAACACATTTAACATATCGAAGCATTAACCACAAATCAGCGTTCCGAAATATGAGTGCCCGAATCTTTTGGACTAAACCGCTTTTTTTCGTTTCTAGAATCTTTATCCTACACTGAGACTACGTTATTATTACCATCAAGTAGTTCTTTGAAACTTTCATCATATGACTAGTGACTAGCGACAAGTGTTTCGGGTGCATTATCCTTGTCTACCATTTTAGCTTGATCTAATTGCTTGCTCGAGCCTCTTTTTGTCTAATTCTAGTTTCTTTACCCTTAGATGTTTTTAGCACACACTATCTCTGTTAGAAATTATACAGTTCAATCCACACGCAGTTTGAAATTATACGTTAAATCATAGAACTCAGTTCGTTTACGAAACTAATATGCAATAGTACTGAAACAGCCTGAAAAAACCATAGTTTATATTCATTAATTTTACAACTTATTTTATTATAACAATGTATCAATCATTATTAAAAATGGTTATTTCAAATTAAAAATATATCCAAACTACAAAATTAAAAGTGTGCATTAGACTTAATAGAGAGGAATTCAGAGAAGAGCTGAAGTATAATCGATTTCTTCTTGCGGATGCAATGCGTTATACGTGTATTAACTCTAGCTATTCTGACATATTTTCAAAATCTATTCCTAATGTTTAAAGGCATTACTAGTCAAGATCAATTAGGCCCCCGAATCGACTTGAACTGTTATAAATAGTATAATATATAATACATTATATACATTATACATATATAAAAAAAATACTTATATGTGACATATAATACATAGTAATATATATATAATATATATATAATATAATATACAATATAAAATATATATATAAAATAATACAAAAAATTAAAATAACAATTACTACATATTTACAATATTATAATTTAAAAATTGCTTTTATTTTTTTTTCACCTTATGATATATATAAATCATTTAAAAATTTTTAGCATAATTTTTACAAAAGAAAATTTTTTTCTTTTAAATTAAAGGATTTTAACGCCACGCCTTTTCCAGGGCAGATGATGGATTTTCCTTCAACGCCCACAAGTTCCGTAAGTAAAGTGCATATTAGAAATGATTTGATTAGAATTTTTTTGATAAATAGATGCAGTATACTAGCAGTTATAAGTAATATTCACATATAACAAATCATGTAGCATTGTCTTATAATACATTTTTTTAAATAAAATTATTTCCGATTATCAGATTTCGATTTTGATTTAACCGATTTACAAAATAAGCTTTTGTGACAATGTAGTGAGGTAACAGTTAATGTAATTATAGTTTAGAACTGTTGTATTTAAGCAATTAGTAATTTATACGAAGTTTTTATGTTAGTAAAAGGTTTTACAAATGTATAAACAATGCGTATTTTCAACTTCTCAAATATCGGATTCGGAACTCACCACTAATAATGGAGACCGGCACTACATTAATTCTAAAGAATTCTAATAAAAAATTTCTAAATTTTCCGAAAATAAGTTAGTACATAGTTTGAAAAGTACAAGTTCATATTCATATAGACTTAGGGATTACTTATAATATTTCGACTATTTATATATAAATGAATATTTATATTATTAATTGCAAATTGTAAATATGCTGTAGCATAAAAATGAAATATTTTATAAAGAAGTTTTTAACAGTAATGAATTATAACAACAAAATTTTTTTTATATTTAATTAATTGAATTTTTCGCGCATCATACATCATAAAGTATTTACTACAGTCATAACGTTAAAATCATATATAATATTAAATTAAATTGAAATATTATTAAAAAAAAATTTTTCTATTTCATCAAATTCAAGAATTTTGATAGTTCATTTTGCTCAGATTTTGGAGGACCCATTACTTCAACACCAAATGTAAGTAAACATTTTTAAGCTAATGTAATATATTGTTAATCGATATATATGGGTATATTTATATACCATGTGTGATTTTATAAACGTAATAAATCTTGTACCTGTTTTATAAGAAGAATTGGAAAGTTTAATGATACCGAATATGATTTTAATGAAACCGATAAACCAACATTTTTGGTGTGACTACTCTGACTAAAAGATATTTTTCTGATATAAGATTTGTTCACCACATGCTATTTTCATTCCATTACATTGGAATGAACCTTAATAACAAATATATGTAAAATACGAATTGATTACATTAATGACATTTGAAATATAATTATTTTTTAACAAGAACAATGACATTTTCTTTGAAATTAAAGCGTTTTGGTGCATTACCTTGGTCAGATGAATGTCCCTCAACACCAACTAGAGTAAGTAAAATCAATTTCTTTTATTATACATTTTAAAATTCTTAAAATTATGTTAAGAGTATTACTATAATACTTTATATTATATATAACGAAATGAGTTCTTTGTTCTTACGTTTAACTTAATAGTTTAATAATATATATATTTATGTATTCAATATATTTTATAAGACAACATTACTAATTGAGATATATATTTTATATTATATATAAAATTTATTTTATATAATAATATAATATATAATAGTAATATAATTATATAATAATATTTTATTATAAATATTATACATTTTCAGTATTTTGGTAATATATATATATATATAATATATATATATATATATATATTTATTATATATTTAAAGTTATGATATTAACAAACATAATGGAAATTGTTATGTAAAAAACATATAAAGATATATCATATTTTCATAATTAATAAATTTATAATTAAAATTAACTATTTTTTTTTTGTAAGAACTACACACATAACACTAACGGCGTATTTGACTAGTTAATCTGAGGTAACTTTTTTAATCGAGATTCACTTTTAGTGTAATTTTTATTTTCGATTGGTAAATCTGTATAACACTCTAGAATTATGTATAACACTCGAAATTAATTTATATCACTCTAAATATTTTGTCAGAGTAGCAAGATTACCCTGAAATATACAGCTGTTTTATACGATAGGACAGATAAAAAAGTGTGATTTATTGTGTGCCCACAATAAGTGATAATAAGTGTAGTTTTCATCTAATTGAAAAGTTTTGAGCAGTTTTCATTCTGACTTTATGATTTCTTTACAGCACTTACTATAAACAATTTCAACCGTTTATATACAAATAAATTTATTCCATATTTTTTTTAATCATTTATATTATCTTCAATAATTTTACTTTTTTCTTTTTTATTTTTATATAATAAAGGGATTTGATGATAGAACTTTTGATATGTCAGGAAGCATTGATGTATGTCAGAATGTGAGTAAATGTTTTCTTTTTACTATACTATATGAAAGCAATATTTTGTTTGTAATGTATTAATTATATTCAAGCATATATACAAACAAGGACTGAATTACAAATTTAAATACAAATTTACAAACTAAAATACCACATTAAGCAGATTCATCTGTAATTTTTCATGCATGTATACAGTCGCCCTATTAATAGATTGAAGCTTCATCACCCTCATGTCTCATATTCATCTCAGTGGTTACAAAACCATATCCTCAGTGTATCGCCAGTACATTACAATGTGTTGAAACTTGAAACTCAGGTTCCCAAACCATAGTACGCATATATATAACCGGATGTATGTACCGGATGTAGAAATCCAGCCTTGCAGATATCCCATCCATCCTTGCTCATGCAATAGATCGATCATTAAAATGATATCTTCCGCTATAACGTCAACATACCCAAGTAACACTAGCCATCTTCCTGTGTAATTTGATATTGTGTGCTTCGAACAGTATATGTATTACATGTTTCATTTTAATAGGAACATATTCGAGCAGCTCAGAGTAGAAATACAAGTTATAAAGTATTTAAGGCCAACTAAAACTAGTTGTATTATTCTTGGAACAGTCACTGATTTCACTTCAGACATCACTAAAAAAAATTTTTCTTTTTTCTAACTTTTCTATAATATTTAATACACATATTAGTCTTGGTGGAAATCTAAAACTATGACTGAACTTTTAGATTATATAGTAAAAGCTTATCTAACTGATAATATTACCGTCACATATAATCTCTTTTTTTTATTTAAGTAATAATAGTTTTTTTTCTTTAAAGGAATGTGATTTTGGACAAGGTGGTCCAACAAATCAAACTGTAAGTAAAAGCAGATTAAACTTGAATTGAGTATATTGTTATGATAAATGCATATAAATTGTAACCTCTGTTCTTATGTATGTTATGACATATACTATTATACGAATTTTATTACCTTTCTATATAAGTTATAGTTGCTTCTTTAGCAAATTTATTTTTTTATTTTTTTAAATTAAAGGCTTGTGACGATTCATTTTTCGGGGATTTCCCAAATAACGATACTCAATGGCAAATGGTGAGTAAGCATTGTCTTGCTGAACTACATTAGTGATCCTACGTTACATAAATTTAATAAACTTATTTAGTGCTAGTTTTGCAGATATTATTAAAATGTATTGTACATAAAATATCATAAGACCCTACATTTTATGATTATAACGATGTTTAATCGATAGTGGTATATATGTATGTACATAAATATCGTTTATAAAACTACTATTTAATTAAGTCTACTTATAATAGTAATAATATATATTTTAAAGAACAGTACTTTCAAATCCAAAGTTATTTTTTCAAAATTTGAAGTCAGAAGTGAAAACATATTTCTGTCAAATTAAAGATAATATTTATTAAATTTAAACTATAAATCTGTTCTAACATTTCGAAAATTTTACTTTTTAAAACAAAGTCAGTCGATTGTTTCCATTTTTTTTTATTATAGAGTACGCATCACTCAAAATTTCTGATATACATCAGCTCTAATACATTAACTTTTCCTGGTTCTATATTAACTAGAAGACCCTCTAAGCTTTTTAGGTTATACTTCCTTAAATGTTGAATCTCATATCATATTTTGCAAAACTATAATACTAAAGTTATACCATTCTGTTTTTATCATACTATATATAATGTTACTGCATTTATACTACATTCATTATTTAATCATATATACTGATTTTATTTTTCAATTAAAGGATTGCCCTTCAACACCAACTCAAGTAAGTAAAGAATTTTATATTAAAATCAACTGATAAGAGTATTTTGATAATATACATTTACATTAGTAAATTAGTATTGTGATAACTGTATAATATATTTATTGTAAATGACTTTATTTTAATAATGTTTGTTAATATGTATCATCTTACCAATAATTTAATCATACCATTAACTAATAATGAAAAACCACTAACTTGTTGAAAATTGCTTTATTGTTTCTTGAAGTATTCTCCTTTATGATTAATACACTTCGAAGCATTGTCAAAGCATTTTTACCAATCTTCTTCAGACATATCCAAAACATGGTTTTTGAAACAAAAATCTTGTTTGGGAACAAGAGTCATTAGGAGTCATTAAGTGGATGATCCATCAATTCTATTTTTTGAATGTTCAAATAGTCGGTTATTAGACGACATGTATGAGCACTCGCATTGTTTGATGGAGAATGATCCCACTGTGCTTGTTTGTTTTCCCTATTTCAATGAAGACTTTCGGTAAACAAATACTTCTTGACCATTCGAAATTGACCGTTTTACGTTCGTGTAATGGTACTCGTATAGTTGCCACACAACCAGTTTTGCCAAAAAAAGCCCGATTATTTGTTTTGAAGTGCTACGAATGTGAACAACTTTTGTTGGACTTGCTTCATCATGAAACACCCACACAGTCGACTGCAGTTCACGTTCCGGCCTTAACGCATGTATCCATAATTCCTCAGCTGTGTTACAATCTTATATACACGTACATCTTTTGAAGCACTGCCATTGTATTTCTTGAGAATTTATACGCTGTGTGCACCAATCGACACGAGCACCTTTTTGTGATTTTGTCAAATGATGGGGAATGCAATTTTTTACATATGCCGGTGGAACTAATGCCTAGAGTTCCCTTAATCTCACAATTTGATGATGTCGCAAGAGGTTCTTGCATTATCAGTTTTTTCACACATCAGTATTTTAATACACAACACTTGATTTTCGACGATCTTCACGAATATGAATTTCTTTAGTTAACGAACTGCAAGCTGCGACCACGACTATTTAGATCGGTTCATGAACCACATCCCTTCGTAAAGAGTTAACAAAATTTATAGTGGACTCTGTAACAGTAATTAATCTTTCTATTAAGAGAAAGGCTCATACCCACAACTCTGGAAATATCCCAGCTGACATGATTGGTATGGTTTAAGATCCTACAAATCGTTTTTGAGCCTAGTGAGAACTATCTTTTATTATACCATATAAATCGGTTTTTCCAAGAGAAAGGACTGTTTTGTAGCTGATAAAATAGTTAAAAAAATACATAAAAAATGTATTATATTTAAAAATATAATTTATTTATTAAAATTTTTCGTGTAAGATAGATTTGCTAGTCATTGTTTTACCTTATACCATAAAACCATAATTATGTTTGGTGGTATAATTAGGAGTGTAGCAAAAGACATCAAGCTCTTAAAATACCGGCAAGATAAAACTAATTTCAAAAATTGGCAAAGATTAATAAATAACATCAAACCCAATTAAAAGTTAGCTAGGTAACTTGCCAATTTGGCGTTCGAAATTAATTTGCCAAAATAGATAATATTCTTATAAAAATTAGTAACTTAATATTTAATTAATATTAATATTAATATTTAAATCAGTTCTTATTACTTGTATACAATCATTTTCATTGCCACTTTTAATTCTTTTATTTTTAAAAATTGAAGCAAGGTGGTGATTTTTCATGGGATATTGATTTCGGAGGTGGCGCCACTTCAACACCAAATGTAAGTGAAGCATATTACATATATACATAAATAACTAATAAAACTTTATAACCTTGTATATATAAATTTTTATTGCTGGTTTAAATTATTTTGTTTTTTAAAATTGAAGCAAGGTGGTGATTTTTCATGGGATATAGATTTCGGAGGAGGCGCTACTTCAACACCAAATGTAAGTAAAACATATTACCATAAAAGTAAACATCATTTGTATGCCCAAGTCAACTTATATATATCACGTTCAAATCAGATTTCATATAAAAACATATTAGTGTCTGTCTTGCGAAGTCATTGCAAGGTGCACAAAATGAAAGATTGCTATACAAAAATTGCAAGAGTGCGAGAACACCTCTGTTGCAGAATTACAACGTCAACATGAAACAGCTGTTTTTGCGGCATACCACATTCATATGAAAAGCAACAGATGTCAAAATAGCTGTTTTCTTTATTCTTTTTTTGTTTCGTTGTAAGCATGCATACATAAGTTTAGGTATAGCAAAATTGCAAACCATTGCAAGAAACGTTGTGCATGTATTTTGTTGTTATCTATTGGAATCTCGAACAGTCTGTGCATTTCGTGCACATTGCAATGAGTTTGCAAGGCAGAGTGAATACCTCTATTAAATTGTTTAAATGCAGATTTACTTAAAGCGAATAGCGACCATCGACCATTACGGCGGCCCACATTATCACTATCGGTGGTGCCTGCTTTCTGGTGGCCATTCTTATGTTTAAATTTTAAGCTGACCTGTTAACTTGATCATTTTGCTTGTTTATGGTGACTCATCAGAAAAAACAAAATTCAACAACCTTCCGCCAAACGAATCAACACTTTAGGTCTTCCGACTCTAACCTATTTTTGTTTATCGGTGAGATCATGCACTTTATTCAACATAAATGGATTTAGTCCGAGCTCATTTTTCAAAATATGTTGCATGTTTGAACCACATTGAACAGCATCTTTGCAATACGTTCAACTCCTTAGCCATTTGATTGCAGCTAAAGCATGAATTTCGCTCAATTTAATTATTCACTTTACGAATCGTTTTTGGTGTTGTTAGTGTTTTATTTGGTTCACTTTTTGAGAGCCGGACAACGCTACCGATAATCACGGTATCGAGCTATGGTACGAGACATAAATGATTTGTTCACATTCAGGTGTTAGAGGGTTCGAACGATAGTCATTTGTGTTTTTCCAGCTAAATATAAAACAATCACACTATCACGTTAGAACTCCATCTTATACACCTTATTTTTTACAACACAAAAATCAAAATGCCTTTGTACGGTTATAAATAAAATAATGAACTGTCAAATAAATTAATTTTGAGATTTCTGTAACTATTACCGACCCGATCTGGATCGGTACGAAATTTTTTGCAATTTTCGTCAGGATTGAATAAATACTACATATATTTTATTGATTTTTTATGATTGCAGAGATGTTCACAAGGTGGTGCCTTCGATTCCTCATTTGGTTTTGGCAGTAATCCATTTGACTGTGAAGATTTCGTAAGTAATAAATTTTTTCTTTTATAAGTAGGTATATCATAAAGGTATTTCTGGAAAAGTGACGTAAAATCTAAAGATAATTTCTTTGCCTCAATAAATCAAATGATAGGGGTGTGAAATTCAATGACAAAAAAATTCTCGAAAAACATCTTGAGTTAAATTAACAAAATTCAGTGAATTAATAGATCATTTTTAAAGAAAAATTTGAAATTTTCAAATGTTTGTAAAACTTTTATTTGTTCAAATATCAGTGAATTATAATAAACTTTTTGTCCATCACGCTGCGTTTTCCGGTAATCTTTCTTTGAAGCGAACTATCCATACCTTTAATCCAAAAAAGAGCATAAATTTTTCTCTTTCCTAATCTTTACAATTGGAAATAAATTTTTGTGTTTTTACTGATAAGACATATAGATATAGCATGCTTAAGAGGATAAATTCAAACCCAATTCAGTACAAAATCAAAAGAATTAGAAATCAAATTGATGGACATTTTATAAGCTAGAGAGCAATAAGGACATTTCATATTATTTCTAATCTCTACACTAAACGTTAATTTAATGAAACTTTTCTGCCCCACTTGTATCTAAGCAAATATCGAAAGTGAACTTCCTTCACATATGATTCGTTTTATTCCTTAAATCATCTGAATTTTCAAAACACCAAGACGAATGGATGACGGTATATAAAAAATATGGAAAAAGCTTACCTTATTTACTCTTAGTTCATATTGAAGTAAAAATTAATTTACAAAGTATGTTAATTATTAATGAATGAATACTTTAGCTGTTTAATTAAATTTTTAAAGTCAATAATATGTGAAATATATGGTATTATAAATTTTTTTTATTTTATTTTTTTGATAATGTCAAAAATAAGACTCCTAGTGCCAGTGCAAGTGACTTTGATAACTTTGATTCAGATTTTGGTGGTAATTCAACTATGGAAGCATTTTCTCAAGTCGATTTACTTTATGACGAGGAAGTAAGTAAATATTTATTTATATTTAAACCAAAATTGTAGCATATATACATATGTAGAAAATTTTTTTTGGAATTTGTATCATCAGTTTCTGATGAAATTTTTCAAGCTCTAACAGAATACAAACATTACACAAAAAAGCCTGAACTCTTAAATGTCAAACTATAGTTATTGCATCTTATAATCTTATGTTTATACTAAAAATACTTATAGCTATACTTTCTTTACCAATTTCGAGAAAAGAAGTAACAATGATGAAACGCAGAAGTATATTAAAATTGGTACAAATGAAGGATCCTTAAAATATATAAGTACCACAACTGCAACTTTTATTAACACTGAATACAGTTGTACACTGCGGTTATATATACGTAAGAGGAGCGGATATCCACGGAGATCTAAGAGTCGGTTCAGTCGAAAAATATATTAAAGATCGTGCACTGAAACTGTTCAATATAATTGACAATCACAATAATCCAATACTCAACAACCTAAAAATACACCGAAATCTGTTAAACACAGGCAGATACAAAAACATCAGATTCATCATATTATAAAGCCCCGTATTCAGTTATTCATAGTGTGACTTAAAACTGCCCACAGATATAATAGTATTAAGGTGATGATTCACCAACTCAGACATCTGCATATCAACATACCACAACCGCAACTTTCGATAGCAGCTAAGGATATTTTATCCCTTTTAGGCAAGTTTAAGAACTCTGTACTAACTTATAGTGTCAAGTCAACACATATATACATGGTCGGCTTAAATTAAGTAAATAAGAATAACCGCAGGACAGTGATTAGTCCTTTTTCAAGGATTAATCAAGACGATAATATCATTGTAGTCTTTCCCAAGCTAAATTAGGAGCCATCCATTAGGTAGCATAGATAAAAACTCTCAAGTATGCAGAGATCAGATCAAGTTTAATGGCTTAATGTGGTCGTTTTATATTGAGTTCCAGGCCTATGAGCTGACCCGACACGGCACTCTATATTTAACACAATAATATCATTAATAATGTAAAATCACTCACAAGTATATAGAACAGATCAAAAACAGTAGTGTTTGTCCGTAAACAAAGTACATGAAACAAATTTTAATCTGATACATTGGCTAAACATGGCAGATCTAAGCGATAAGGGCAAAGCACCCCAAAAAGGAGCAAGCATTCTTTTATGTTTAACAAAATATATAGTAAATTTGTTGATGTCTGTTCTAACAGGCTATTATTTGATAAGTAAGCATGCAACAAGATCAAGTACAGCCGATTCTGTTAACAAATTAAACAAGTGAGCTTTTGTTACGTTACTCTTCGACTCTCTTCAGCCAAAGGAGTTAAGTTTGAAAAATGCCGCTAGATAGTACTAAGAAGGTGAGAAATTCTCTTTATTGGTATCACAACGTACTCTTGATCTTATGAATTCCAATACCTTTCATGGTAAAGCTGTCATATTCATAGCAATAGCAACAATGAAGACCCATATGCATATTTTTGACTAAAATTTAGTGTTAGTTATTATATATGTCGAAACAACTCCTTTTGCGCCTTGCCACATATGAAGAATAAATATTTTAAGTACATAAAAGTGATAAAATACTTCCATTAACATCCTAAAAAACAACTGCCTCTTCAGATGCAATAACTCACGTAATACTATATATATCCAAACATTATAAAATTTTAAAAAATTAGATATAAACCTAACTGTTATTTATTTTAAAATACGTCTTATACTTACACAATTATTAATTTAAAATATGTAAAATCTTTATTTGATAATTTTAATATTAAATATTAATAATCAAAAATTTTAAATTATTTATAGTGTCCTGGAGAATCAGAGGACCAGTGGAGTAACATGGTAAAATGCATTTGTATTATCATTCGTTATTATGGTATAACTATAAAATAACTTATACATTTTTTTTATAAAATAATATTTGAAAAGATAACTCTATTAAATAATTAAAAATTAATATACTGAATTTTTTAAACAAACTTTCATTTATCCAATTAATATTTCAAATATATCAAACAACGATACCTTTTTAAATAATATTTATCAAAATTAAAAGATATTGCCAGATGAACTATTTAATATAATTAAAGCCAAATACTAAGGAACATATATTCATATAAGTGCTTCCTGCTTTAATTATATTTTTATATTACATTATTTTGTTCGTAAAGATTATTATGCGAACAATGAGGTCCATATAATAAAATATACAGTAATCATAGCTTCAATTTTTATTTTTGTTTAATTTGCCATAAATATACTTTAAAATTTTATATATATAATTTATTATATAAAATAAAATCTAATTCTAACTAAATTTTCTACATATTTACGTTCCGGTGACTTATCACAATAAAAGACATGGTATGGCGGTGGTACAACTCCAGTAAGTAAACATTCCTTATTATTGTAAATTATTCTTTCGTTTATTGTAAATACTTTAAACATTTATAATATTTAGTTGAAAATCAACAATTTTTGTTTAAATTCTAATATTATTAATGACAATATTATGACAATATTAAAGTCAAATAAATTATTTAGGGTATGGATCTTAATACTGTTTTACCAATGGCGCCAGAAAATGAGAGGGAATGGAGAGATCAAGTATATATATACCTTTTTAAAAATATTTTTTCCAGATTTCATTAGCATAAAGTATTAATTTTTTTAAAATTTAAAAAATAAAAAATCAATTTCTAAATAACAAGATATTTAAAACTCATTCTATTCAAAGGTCGCCACTTGCGAAAAGAGGGGTTGGATAAAGCCAAGTTGTAATCCTTTTAGTAACCCAACGGTTATGTCTGATTCACTAAACGCAATGCTTGACGTGCCTGTAAGATATTTTTTTTTTTTTGATAAATAATAAAATAAATGGTAATTAACTTTCATTCTAGCGAACAAGAGTAAATACCTTACCAGGAATAGAAGAATTCAGGTGTGCAAATGTAAGTAATTTGTTTATATTATTAAATTATAAACATAAGGTAATGTTAATAACTCATGTTAACTTACACGTAAAATGTGACTCATCGATAGCAAAGTTATTTACGTATTTACGAGTTTACAGTTCCGTGCAGTAACTAAACCCGGATTCTCGATTTAATACCTTTATTACCTAACTTAAATGGTATAACAATATATACTTAGGTATAGAGTGAATAATGATTTTCTTTTTGCTCTATAACTTTGGATAATATATATTAAAAAGGTTGTTGAACGAATAACTCAAGGTTTTCTTTCGAATAAAACTCAAACATTTTTTTTCTTTTAAGTTTTTTTGCAAAAACATTTATTTTGACTTGTAAAAATGTTACGTAATCAGTAGTGACAACTAATATCTTATAAATGGATGTATATATCTTGATAACCAGTGCAGCAGTCGGTATTTTACGTATTTTATATCGGATACTGACTTTTAGTTCGGCTAGACTTCGTAATTTACTCTTAAGCGGATATTATAAATCGTATTTAGTGCTATAAATTGGTCCGCCAGTCCGATCAGTAGCTTACTATTACCAATTGATAGTACCGAGTGCGCCCCCAAATCGTTAGTCACCTGGTTCTATCAAAGATGCAGACGTCTTCTACCGCGTTTTTTTTCCGCGGGTTCCGAATGCTATCCGGCATCTTCTCGCGATGATAATTCATCAAAATGAAACATTGAACGTTACTTGTCAATTTTTGTTAGTTAGGACACGCTTTCTATAGCAACATAGAAGATCGTAAAACATCTGTTCACTCTCACAGAAATGTTACATTGCCCGCGACATTGGATCGCCTATCAAAACTTCTGCATTTTCAAAATCCAACAGAGAACACAAAGCACTTGTGAAAGCAAAGCAGCTCCTTCGTTGTATGTTATTGTGCTCTGTGTTCGTAACAGAAATGAAATATTTTTTGATTTAAGGACTTGTAGGACTTCGCTAGTGGCTTAGTGGTTCGATTTAAAAACAAAAGATGTTAAGCTTATTTCTCCATTAAACCTAAGTGGATCCACTAGGGATCGCCGGTATAACCTAAGCTTATTTCTCAAAATAGTGAAATAAGTTTACCTAGCAAGTCATTTTAAAAGTTTATTTAAGATTGTAGAATAGATAAGGCTAATAACATTCTTAAAACAATACTAATTTATAGGAGTGCGATGAAACAATTATAAATGAGAATGATGAATCAAACTACTTCAGTTGCGACGATGATACTATGGTAAGAGAACATAAAAATACTTTAAAAACTAATTTAAATAATTTATTACTTATTTCTATTAATGAATAACTTATTTAGACTCCTGATGACACGATGGTAAGCAATTATATAATAATAATTAAATTTCATATAAATTTATAAGCTTCAATTAAATATAATTCATTTTGCATTGGAAACAGTACCACTCATTTGATGATAGCTACGGGGTGAGTGTTTACATTTCCCATATTCTTAAATTCAATTATACAATTCTTAACATTATCTTTTTATTTTTCTTCCTTTAGGAATCAGATGTAAGGAATTATTGATATTCATATACCCGCATTTATATATTTTAAACATTATTTGAATTGGTTAATAAATATTTTAAATCTTTTCTAGTATGAAACATGCCCTGAGTACGATTAAAACATGCTAATATGCATATTTACTCAAACGATGAATTCAGTATTCAAAGGCATTAATAGTTTATGCGGAGGTAATGGAAATAAATTTTTTAAATAATATTTATGCTCTACCGACGATGAGGCAACAATCATTGGATATAATAGTAAGAAATGTCAAAAATGTAGCTGAGCAAATACATATTAATAGCATTACACAATATACAACAACTGTAGACAGTGACAGTTGCTCTTTTGCGATTAATCTCTATATCTACACAGATTTTAGAAGTGTCGTGTCACGTATCACACATTCAGCAAATGGGTATTCCTTATCAACCTGACGTTATAGATAACTTTGTAGCTGTAAGTGAAAAATTATTTTAAAAGGTTTGAAAACAATTTTTATATATTTAATATTATATATATTTGTTATTTAGATCATAATTTTAATTTTGAACAAACTGCATAAATTCATATGAGCCCGACCTTTATAATTGTCAATCAGATCTGTAGTTGGTTAATTTTATTTAAACCTATTATTCCTATTAAAAAATATTTCAAACAATTGTAGTAGTGACTAAAGTCACTATATATATATAACTACCTGATATAACTACCAGATATTCCAAAAATAATAAAAGAATAAATTGATGTCCTAAGTAAACAAGCTAAAAAATAGCTGCGTTGCTTTCAACTCCTGTCTTTCAAAAATGAATGAGTAACTTGTGTGCCTTCTCAACTATGGTTAACTCTCACTGAATAACCTTTATACTAAAATATTTAAACTCTGTAAAATAGAATAAAAAAGAAGCCAATCACCAATTATTAGAAGAAAAGTTCCTCACTTTTTGAAGCCTTTCGAATTAATTGAAAGATAAGAATGCAAAGAGGAATACATATTTTTGCGTTAATAAATTATGGTTAAAAATTATCCATTAATAATCATTATTGTTAAAAAATCGTATTAAAATCCTTGCAAATTAATTTCGAACTGAATAAAACTTACGAATGCTCTTCGTTGGCATATGAAAAGTGGATGGGTATTTTGCTTATTAGATAAAGATCGTTCTGAACAGTTCAAATTTGTCACCACTGACGTAAAAAACTACATTATAAAGTTCATTTTTCTTAAAAAATATATTCATACCCAAAGGTAAAAAGTACACCAGCTAACGTTTTGAATTTAATTACTGTCTGCTCTTAAAAAGAAGGTTAATAAAGTACGAATATTACTGACTAAACAATGGCTGTTATGTATCAATTTTAAAACAAATAGTTCAAAAAAATGATTTATTTATATAATGTGTACTACTTAAATATGCAAAAGTTTTTATTTTTTAATTTAATAATTTTTATTTTTGTTTAATTAAATTAGATCAATCCAAGGATACAGATTCTTTACATTACTACAAACGAAAAAGGCAGATGAACGAATGCTATATCCGGTGTATTGTGTACAAAAAATATCAAAAATATACTTTAAAATATCGAAAAATCTAAAATAATATATTTTTGACTCAATAAAATCTACCAGCAGTTCACGCATTGGTTTTATTTATAAGCTAAAAATAAAGCACTTAAAAGAAATCCATTTTAAGAGCAATAATGATGTTTACACGTAAAAGAAGTGGGGTACTGTTTACAAGCCCCATTTATATTCAACTTTTTAATATATTTACGCATATTGATTAAAACGATCCCACATTCTTAGCACAAAAACCTGTATATAGTTGTAGTAGCTTCAATTAAGATATTTCTTCACAGAATATGTTAAGGGAGCATTTAACGTGTTCTATTCCCCTTGGATGCTTAAGATTTTGTCCCAATTAATAACGTGTGTCAGAAATAACTCTGTAAGTGCTTTAGCATGAGAGAAAAACTACACCTTACTTGTCGGTGTACAGCTTATTTCCAAATCCTAGTCTTCAGTCAGCATTTTTTCGTATTTAAAATAAATTAATGTTTTTCGCTTCGAGGTTGCTATTCATTATGGTACTTATAGCTGATTACTTCAGAAGAAACTATCAATTACATACAATCTGCGTTTTACGTTAGACAACTGTGAAAAAAATAATCTCTGAGAGGGTCCTTATCTATTTCTGTTGGCAATCATCTAGTCATCACTTTAACAATATGTTCGACAAGTGCGTATTGCCGTTTGATAGGTTTTGAACACTTTCCATTACATGTTAATTCGACTGTAGAGATGGTGCATGTACTCACATCAGGATAGTATACAAAATCATTGACTTTAGAACTTAAGCCAAAACTATTAGGAACTATTTATTGAAAGAATTTTTAACAAATTAAACAAGCTTAATCTCCGAATTGCTTTATCTACGGTTATGTATTTTTGAAAATGTTGTCAACGAAATATGAAAACTGTGGGTTGATTATGTTTGAAGACCGCTAACTGCAATTGAGGTTTTTAATAATTTTTCTATCGGTATTGAAAAGCAGCTTCATTTTATACTCAGTGAACTCTCCAATTATTTATTATCCATTATTGTCGTAGTAAATTCCTACATCTCCTTGAGGAGCATAGGGCTTCAGTGATGCATTTCCATCTCGTACAATTATTTGCGATTACATTTAATTCGTTCAACGATTTTCCTGATGCACAAGTTTCGGCATGTAGCGTTCATCTCCATAATATATTTTGAGTCTTCTTTTTCGTCTGTCTAGTGGTTTCCAATCCAGTGTTTGACCACATATTTCGATTGAATCCTTACGAAGCGTAGGCCAATCCAGCACCATTTGCATCATTTTATAAAATTTTCCATTGATTCGATGTTGCATTTTTGGTTGAGTTTTTTATTGGTTATAACATTTAGCCATCAAAATCTTACAGATTTAGCCGTATGTTTACGAAGTTTTGTATTTTTTGCATAATATACATTATTAATATACATTAATATACATTCTGTACTTTTCTGCTGTGAGCCACAATCATTTAATAGCACTGCGATGAAGCTAGTTTGTTTTCAAGTGTATTGAAAAACACCAGACCTTTCTCAGTTAAACGTATGTGCCCTTCACTTTATTTGTGCAGGCAAATATCTTTCTAGATATAAAACTATCTAGGTAGGAAACAGAATCCACCATTTCAATCATGTCGTTTACTGTTATATAGTCAATGTTACTTGTGACATGATTAAAATGTTGCTAGACACTCCATCTAGAGTTTTAGCAAGCTCCTTCATTTATGTCAATATTATTTTCAGAACCTACTATATCGGCTACATTTGATTTTTCGATTGGATACCAAATTTCAAAATTTTTCAGAGTTGACCCTGTTAATAACATAAACCTTGGAGAATGTTTAGTGATAACAATAATTTTTAACAAATGCTGCGGTACAGACATTTTTCACCAGTTCCTTTTGAATACCACTTCACTCAAAACAGAATACTACTGATTGAAGACGTTCTAATGTGACCCCGACGCAGTTTATTTTCACACCGCGTAACCACCTTAACATATATCTTGGTAGCTTTGTTTGCAGTGTTGCTAAATATAGTGTGATATTGAATATATAATACTCAGGTCTAATATTAAATTTATTGTCAAACAAACCATACCTTGACTTCGTGTATTTTTTTTATTATTTAAGATGACTAACCAGTTTCGGAAAATTTCTTTCGTAGGCAGCTGTTTAAAATATCCCTAAAATGTTGTCTAGTCCAGAACGCTTTCTGAACATATCTCTGATACAAGCGAGAGCTTTTGTTTAATAAATAACACGTCATTTTTAATATCCTGAAATTTTCTCGATAACAAATATTTTGAGCAAGTCTTATATTGTTTATTAATTAATATTTAAAATGCTTCGATCTTAATATTTAAATTGCTTTCTTCAACTTGAATCTGGTTTTTCAGTATTTTGATAAAAACCTTTCTGCATCTGCATCAGACTTACTGCATTAAAACAGCTTACGCAAAGAAAGGCATTCGGAGTATTGATGCATCATCGATTTTGTGAAAATCTTACCAAAGGTGAGTATATGTTATTTAACTTAAGCGGCACAGTTGCTGAGTATGGTAATGAATTCCAATACCTTTTTATTCGGATAAAAATTTCTCGAGCCTTTCTATTTCGTTTTTCTCTACGATTGTTTTACAACAAACTTTAATTTTACATTGAATTAATTAGTTTAGTTGTTATTCTGAATATAATATTTACTTACTTCTCTTCTCCCAGTGGAGCATAGGGCCTCTCTGAATATAATAGTTTAATAAAATTCATTACGAATACCCTACTAATGTATACCTAGCAAAGTTGATATCATACATTTGAATTAAGTTTAGAAAGTTAAATGCTTCTGAAAGAGCACTAACCGTGCGTATTGTAAGGGGACTTCCAATTTCATAGCCCATACATTCCAATCTGAATTCTGACAGTGTCTGATAACCTACCAAGAATATCGTCAGACAATAGAATCCATTCATACACCTTCATACCCCGTGTTTAACAAGTACGAAGCTATCGTTTTGAATGTTGACGCTTGATTTAAGCATTATGTCCTCTCTCAACTAAATGGCTACATTTGTACTGATATATGTACTTCTTGAATAGAGTAAATTTTTATTTGTATTGCTATTGTATTGCAAATATTAATAAATAAATAATTATAAATTTAAAAAAGAAAGCTTGTTAAAAATAATCAACTACAAATTAAATAACATGAAATAAAATCCATAAGGAATATGTTTAAAAAAAAAAATTTTAAATTAAAATTCCAAACAGATATTTCCTAAATCCGCTTGCCAACAATGAGTAACATTCTAATCATAATTCCACAGTAATGGATTAACGCTGAAGGATTGTGTTTCAAATGTCTTGTGTTGTTGTCTTAAGTCCCTATAGTGTTTTTGGTGTTTCCAATAAACCAGCATATAACAATGAGTCTATAACAAAAAATCGAGCAGGTTGAAATTAAGACTAAAACATAACGAAAGGTAAATAACTTCAAGAAGTATTACATAAAATTTACCTTCATATGAAGATAATAACGTCAGTATTGATAAAGTATAAATATCGTTAATATTGGATACATAATATAAATAATATTGCCACTGATTCCTATTTCATGAATCACTTCCATTATTATATAAAGAGACTACTTCTCCTTAAATTAAAGTATTAAACAAAGCTTTATTACAGAGTTTATAGGCATGTGTTTTGAGGTCTCATTTTCTTCTGTATTAAATCTTGTTCCCATAACCAGCTCTCTTTTTTATTCTATAAAATTGATTTAATCTATTGAAAAATGCGCATGGAATTAAACAAACAGGCGTTAATTGAAATCTATTAATAAAGTAAAATACTCCCAGATAACGAATAACAGTATAGATTTAAAAATTATATACTAGTATTTAGTAATTCCCAACTTAAATTCAATTTAAAATATATTTTAATTTCACTCAAATCTCATTTAATAGGTATACCTTACACCTGTATACCTCACAGGTATAAGGCAATTTAAACTAATTCTAAATGAGAACTTAGCAGCTCCTTGAGACACAACAACATTCAATAAAACAAGACATAGAATATGACGATTTTAACAGATGAAGCAGATTAATACGAGGACCAAAGAAGGTAAGACACACAATCGATACCACACATATCATTATAATTGCATCTGAAGAATAGTTTTTTGCAGTATCTTCTTTGTTTTCTGTAGAAATTAATAATAAGTGAAGGTACTTAGTTTTCCCTACGTCCAATCAATTGATATTTATCTCTTTGCCTTTTATTGTAACCTTAATTTTCATCTGGTTGTATAATGATGTAAGTTTAAGGATTTTGTTTATTTTTCAAACTTGTTATCAACTTTCAACGTTTATACGTCCATATATAATTTCATTTCTAAGCTTTCTAAGAAATAAGTTTCGTTAGTTGTCTTATTATGAAATCTCTGTATTGTTGAGGAAATACACAAATTTCGAAGCAATTGCACTTTTATTTGAAAATTTCTAAAAATTTTGCCCATTGTCATCGATATATTTGCCATCAAGTTACGTCTTTGATTTTATTGTACCATGGAACCATTTCGGATTGGTCCTAATCTTCTTATGCCTTATCACTAAACATTGTAGACAGCGATCGTTTGTTTATTCCTTTTTGCTGGGAAATTTTGTTTAAAGTATGAACTTTATGTTAATATTACATCAAAAAAATTAGATCCCAGGACAGCAGATAGTCACCCAAAACCAAAAAAAAATTCAAAAAATATAAAAAAAGTTATCTATATAAACTATTGCTGGTAGTTCGCTCTTTGTGTTTAATTTAATGACCAGTTCTTGATGTGTCAGTTGGCAGTTCATACTTTCGGAAGACTATAGCATTTAGATACCATATTTTGGTTATTTGTATGAGAATTATTGCATTAACATATTTGCACAAAAAAAAAAATATTTATAAACTGTTAGTTTCATCTTTAACTTACATAAAGTGATCTTATGACCATTATCTTTTATATAAAGGAATTGATAAACACACTACTTAACTTTTTTCCATCGCAAACCATCCCAGATCTAAATTGGACTGAACTCAAAGACTTTAAAGTAGCTTGACTGTCTGTTAGTATGTATATTAGGGTGGCCGTAATATGTATGGGGGCAAAAAAATGTGTTCGAATTTTAGATGCCACCCCCTAAATTTATTCGAATACTCAAAAAACTACTAAATGTGAAGTTTTAGACTAATCGGATAATGTTTAGAGGTCGCTCATCGACCTTAAACTTCGGAAAAATGCCATTTTTTCGCTTTTTTTAAATATCTGCACTCCAAACTCGCGTATTTTTCACCTTTGACTATTTGTACCAAATTAATATTATTCTTTAACATATTAGCTTTCAAATAAGGTAAAAATCAATCAATTTCGTCCACAATTAACTAAATTATCACTAAAATAAGAAATCATACTCGACGTTTATTGAAGCTTTCAAGACCAGCATAAATATGGGAGTAAATACGAGTACGTATGAGCGAAAGCACAGTTTCTTGGACACAAAATGGTACAATATAATATTCGAAGACAATCAAATACTTCCTCACTATATATAATTGTCCACACTTGATTTGAATAATATGCACAAAATTAAGTAATTTATTTAAAAAAAATATTAAATTTATTTATTATTTGACAAAACTGTTTTAGTATACTTTTTAAAAGTCTTTCTATAATCTATTATTACTTGCAATAAATATTGTTTATCTTGCTCATTTTTACCAAGGACTCTATTAAATTATTCGAAAAGTTTTACTCCTTGCTCTGCCGTATCATTAACAGGTCTTATATTGTGAACAATTTTTAACGCGTGTACATAATCTGTATGTTGGTTCCATTTATCTGGTTCTAGGTTCAAGAAATCTGTAGATATATTGAATCGCTTAAAAAAGTTAATGGTATTGGCTGTCACAAAATTCTCTAGTGATTTCGATAAAAAATCGGTTACATTCTCCGTCTTCAAAAGAATTCGTTTTTCTCCGTCTTTTTTAATATCGTCCACATTGTCGTGGCTTTCATTGTTATCACCACTATCTACTTCAACATTCATTGATATAATTTTTTTTAACTTATCTGCCATACTTTTTTTAATTTTAATTAGAATGTTGTCATCAAAAAATGATAGACCAATGCATTCATCGGATAAATACCATAAATGGTTACACATCTTCTTAATAGCAGCCTCAGATATTGTCTTATCAATACATCTATAATTATACATTTCTTTTATAAAACAAAAATCTTGGTAAGCTGCTTCTGATGCTATAACACATTTGAACCAATATTTTACGTAAACATGTATTATGAACAAACAGATTTCTTTTAGCTTTTGCTCTTCGAAAGATGACAATGTGAACTCATTTCGAAATAAATATATCTTTAAACAGTAAAGGGCTTTGGACATCCAACGAGCATGGTGCATTGGTCCAGGGTTACGGAATATTGGTGATGAACTTTATCCCAAAGAGATGATAACTAGTTCCAATAGTTCTTTATAATCATCTCTGCAAATTGATTTTTCTAGTTCTTTGTAACAAAAAGTTGTTATTTCATCCTTAACACCTAAGAGAATTTCTTTTGTTTACTTAAGGACTCCTTTCCTTTTATTATATTTATTAATCTATTTTGTGCATATTATTCAAATCAAGTGTGGACAATTATATATAGTGAGGAAGTATTTGATTGTCTTCAAATATTATATTGTACCATTTTGTGTCCAAGAAACTGTGCTTTCGCTCATACGTACTCGTATTTACTCCCATATTTATGCTGCTCTTGAAAGCTTCAATAAACGTCGAGTATGATTTCTTATTTTAGTGATAATTTAGTTAATTGTGGACGAAATTGATTGATTATTACCTTATTTGAAAGCTAATATGTTAAAGAATAATATTAATTTGGTACAAATAGTCAAAGGTGAAAAATACGCGAGATGGGAGCGAAGAAATTTGAAAAAAGTGAAAAATGGCATTTTTCCGAAGTTTAAGGTCGATGAGCGACCTCTAAACATTATCCGATTAGTCTAAAACTTCACATTTAGTAGTTTTTTGAGTATTCGAATAAATTTAGGGGGTGGCATCTAGAATTTGAACACATTCGTAAATAACGGCCACCCTAATGTATATATTCTAGTTAAATATATATGTTAACTCATTTTTAGAGAATCTATAGCTTCCCTAATGGCGTTAAATTTTGCCTGAAAAATACTTCACTGATTTGTTAGCCTATGGTAAGAAGATTTGTTAAGTACTCTGCGAAAACTCCACTGCCCACACGACTACTTGTTTTGGATCCATCAGTATAAATGGTTAGAAACCACCTTCCATATGTCTCTAGATAGAAATTAGACATAAAATTTTCTGCCGAAATTGAGAATGTCAATGAAAATGTAGTGAATTTTGTTAGGAATAGCCAAGAAAAGATTAGCCACGGAGACGTGTCCATAGTCACTGGCTCTCCATTGTGAGGTAGCTTTGAGCCTAAGAGCAGATGATCCTGCTATTTGTTTACTAATGATATCGAGTAGCAGTAAATGAAGCATCAGGTCATATTATTCAGAAAAAAGAAAAAAAAAATATTCTTATAATTTATTTTATTATTAATAAAAAAATAAAAAAAAATGTAATTATATTTTCTTATAGCAAATAATCGACAATATGGACAAAAACTGTGTAAGTAAATTACCAAATCAATTTCCTTGAAAAATTTGTATTATCAGAATGAAAAAATTAAATTCAATAAATTTTATTATTTATACATTAAGACCGAAAAGTTTTCGGAAATTCTCATTTAAAATTCGCGCGCTGTATATTTTCCGATATTTTAAGTTTATGTAGTTTGGCAGCACTGTCCTTAATTACTATGCCAAAAATGAGCGCGATCTGTCAGACAGTTCGTTTACGGCAGCTGTTGAAACCAGTTCACCTCAGTAGGGCGTTGCGAAAAAAACAATGGAAAAAAATATTGAACAAAGAGTTTGCATCAAATTTTGTGTTTCGAACGAAATTTCGTGTGCAGAATCGTTGCGAATGCTACAAAAGGCTTATGGGGAATCAGTTTTATCGAAAACTCAAGTTTATGAGTGGTACAAAGCCTTCCAGGACGGTCGTACGACCGTCGAAGACATTTCGCAACGCACTACTGAGGTGAACTGGTTTCAACAGCTGCCGTAAACGAACTGTCTGACAGATCGAGCTCATTTTTGGCATAGTAATTAAGGACAGTGCTGCCAAACTACATAAACTTAAAATATCGAAAAATATACAGCGCGCGAATTTTAAATGAGAATTTCCGAAAACTTTTCAGTCTTAATGTATACAATATAAGATCACTGATTTTTATTCATTGCAATAAAATCATTAAATTATTTTTTTATTTTAAGTGTTTATTGTAATTAAATCACAGAAACTTACTGGTTTTCACACAAAAATTGTAAATTCGCATATTACAAATTCAAATAATTTTTTTATTGCTTGTTAAAATATTTTAAATTTTAATCGATCTATTAAATGTGAATCAACAATCCAAAATTAATACTTCCTGATACTATTTAACAATTTAGAATTTTATAAGTGTTGCAGAAAATTTTATTTTAATTTAGCTCAAAAAATTGTATAGTAAAAATATTAATCGAAATGCATTCCTTTTTTATTAATTTTTTTTACTATTATAAAAAAACAACTATTCTCTTTTAGAATATACCTCCAACATGTCCCAACACGGAGCCGGTAAGTTTTTTAAATATTATTGAGTTTGATATAAATGCATAGCAATAATTTTAAATAAATATAGTATATTAAGAAATTATATAGGGCTATTGAAATAACGACGAATTAGAACTTTTATGATAAAATATTTAATATTTTTATTCAGGGTGTAACACCTCCGAGACCACGTGCGAGTACCATGGACTGCAGTGGACGCCAGGTAAGTTTATATGTCATTTTATACAACTTTATCACTGATATTAATTTTAAAATTATTTTTATCTACATGTAGTTAATGACATACCTATACAGTTTTAAGTTCTGAACTAGTAGAAACAGAAGTTATAATATACCATAATTTTTAGCGTTTAACTATTCCATTTATTCTAATTGAAATCGTAATATTATAATCGCTAAGCCTAATATATTACATAAATATTTGCATTTATTATTTCAAAAAGCTGTAGATACCCACAGAACTAAATAATCAACTTATCATTTAGTATTGAGAATTAATTTAATCCGTAAAAGATTATTACTTTTAAAATAATCATTTTATGTCGAAAATCTTCGGAAGAATGTCAACATATAAAATGTTTTCTGTAGACATTCCAAAAATTCTCGTGGTATTACATACGCCATGGTGAAGTTAAGAAGTTACCATGGCATTATATGCATGTAAAAAAATTCCAAGTAATATATGCAGTCTTGCAGCTACACTAGCACACTGGATCTATACAGTGATCGCACCAATTCTTTTTCATAGAGTTGTAGTTAAATGTCACGGGTAAAACTACTTTCAATTACTAAAACTCAGATAATAACAATAATACTTAATACATACAAAAAAAAGCTCATTACGACCGCTTTTATATATTGCCTTAATAACATTCCAAACCTAGCGCCGGAAGGTCGACAAATCAATTCTAAACTTTGAACTTTGGGCTTACTAAAATCCTGCAATATTAAATAACAAATACATAGAAGCGGGAATAGATGCCGTAGTCTACTCCAAACAAAAAAAAAGTATGGAATCATATTACTGTGATATCTCTTAATCGGGAGAACTAGCTGTTAAAAAATCGTAAGATTTGTATTGATAGTTAGGCGGTCCTAAAGTTGATAACTGACCATGGTACCTATTCCGAAAGCATTCTCAATGCAAAATTACTGTTGACTCACTAAATTCTGAAATAAAACTTCGTGTATTCTGGGCACTTCTACATAAAGATGTGAAAGGAAATAATCAAGCAGATGAACGTGCCAAATGTGGCATACAACTACCAATGAACAACCAAATTTACACTGACATGCCGACCTTCCGGACCTGAAACTTTAAACGATAGGCAATAGCATTTTCTATTATGCTATTGCCATCGTTTCATATTTATGACTATTTTATACCCAAATAAAACTCACAAACACTTGTGTTTTTCTTCTTAAAATAAAATAAATAACAACAGAGGTAGTGTACCATATTTTATATATTAACGTATTTCTTAAAAACCCATAAATTAACTTATATTCTCTTTTAAATTCGGGTCTTCGTTTACAATTATTCTAATATTATTTAACAAATATATGTTATTTTCAAATTATATTTTGTTTTAAATTCTAGTTTCAAATTTTAGGGTCGAAGAAGATGGCAAACTCCAGCCCAACAGAATAGAAATCCATGTGTAAGCCTCCATTTTATTGACTGAAAATAATAAGTATAAAATACTTTTTATCTTTCACGAATAATTTACATGATCATATTATCCGGTAATAAATATATGACAAACTAAATATTAATATTTAATCTTAAAATAGACTACTCCGTCATGGCTTAACACTTCCAGACCTATGGCGCAACAGGCAAGTAATTGAGTAACTTCAAATTTATTCATATGTATATATTTATATACCATTTTAAAAATGATGATACTACTCGTAAAATAAGTAGAAAACGTATACCCTAAATATCTAAAATTCACAAATTTTTTGGTTTTGATATAACAAAAACAATTAGTTTTTTTTATAAACTATTTTATGAAAGTATTATGTTTTATAATAGATAATATGAATAATCGTATATCTAACGGTTGTTGTTATAGAACGTTTATACATGAAGAATATCTCATATTTGATTACTTATCACGGTTTTTAGGTGGTGAAACCACTGTTAATTCTACTAATTATTTTTGAACAGTTTTCTTACTGATTCAAGGCATTTATCTACAACCTTTAATCTAATTTCATTAGAACATGTGTCACTTACTTGAATTAATGCTAGCTTTGTTTGACATATATTATTTTCTGCCCAATAAAATTTCAGTTGAACATTCTCCCAAATTTTTATATAAATCTTAAAAATAAAAGCATGTTTGTCCAAAGCATTTTTACTGACACTTGTGACTAACACCTCTCTAAAAATTTAAGACTTAGCAAACTTTACTATCTGCTAGCTTGATAATTGGATCATACACTCCTTCCAATATTCCTTTATTTAATCTGATATGAAATTCGCGGTATAAGTCTTCTAAGACTTCTATTATTTTACTTGTTTATTTTTTATACCACATACCATGTGGGTTCAAGTGGGTATACACAAAATGCAAATAATTATTATAAATTAGTTGTGAATTCATAATTAACAATAACTACAGAAAAATTATTGTTTAAATAATATATGTTAATATCAACTTTTTGTTTTAAACAGCCTGGTCGAACATGCTCACCGCCTGGTCCAGGAGGCTCACCTCCATGCCCATCACCTGCAGCTCCACCGGCAAGTATTGCAATAAGTAACATCTAATATATACATATTATACTATATTTACATATATAATAATAATTTCTAAAGCACAACAAACATGCGTAAACTACAATAATAAAAAATGCAATAAGTTAAACCGATTTATTAAGACCCCAAAAAAACGAAACTTAAGCTGCAAATGCATTTATATGCATATGAATTATAACATTGGAAACTTTTCACATTCATGAAAAAGATTCCCTGTTTGAATTTTTAAATATGAAAACTTGACTGTATAGCTTTCTTCATTATAAAAATTTTGTCTGAGACCCAGGTCAATTCAGTTACAAGACAATATAACTGTATTTAAGGGATAAATAAGATATATAGTTAAAAATATTATTGAAAGGAAAAAGTGCTTATAGACCATAGTTTTTTCATGGGCATAATTTTATTATTTTTATATTAACTTAATTTAATAATAAATTTTTTTTGTAAATTAGGGTCGAAGGAGATGGTCGATTTCTGCACCACAGAATCCATGCGTAAGTGCTTGAAGATTTTAAATGAAAAAAGTGTCTATAATATTTTTAAGTAATTTTCTTTATTTTGTCAGTACTTTCAATATCACATATATGTGTTTTTAGTAAGCAGAACCAGTGCTTATAACTTAACTGTTTATATGAAATTTCGATGATATATAAAACTAATTAAAATTATATTTTGTTTTAAACAGTCTGGTCCAGGATGGCTAAACGCTACTTTACCTGCGTCGCAACCGGCAAGTATAAAAATAAAAAAACGAAAAACGGGAACTAACTGCATTTATATAAAATAATATTCTAAGATTGACATATACTGCATTTTAAATAAATATATGCAGAAAGTATGTGTAAAACTAAATAAACTAAATAAAATTATATTTTCTTCTAAATAGTCTACTCCAGGATGGCTTAACTCTTCGCCACAACAGGCAAGTATTAAAATGAGTAACTGTGATTTAATGCATATGCAATACCAAATACAACTATTAATACTAGAGTAAACATCATAATTATATATCATTTTTAATAGTGTACTCCAGCCAGGCTTAATGCTACTCTCTCTGCCGTGCAAGAGGCAAGTATTAAAATCAGCAACTCGATTTAAAGCCTATACAATACCATATACAATATAACTCTTAATACTAGGGTAAACACACATCACGTTTTAATTAAATATGTATATAGAAAACAGAAGTAACGATATATGCAAAGTGCTGAAAATACGAAAGATACGATATATAACAAAAACAAAATATATTCAAATAAACTATAACTGCCATAAACTGCCTTAATATAAAGAGATTAAGCAATTACTATGGTTTCGTTCTTCAGTATTAAATAATGTGTACAACGAGAATTTACTTTATTTGTAAAATAAGAATTTACTTTATTTTTAATCATTTAATTTACGAGAATTAATTTTCAATTGATTACTTTAGCAAAACTATACTATAGATATTTTGACAGCCCCAATAGCGAGGTCGCCAGCTAATAATTTTTATTTCGGTTTACAAATGTTTGATGTTCTACAATTGTTGTTATACGGAAACATATTTTGATCGCAAAATATAAATTTCTAGTTGCATATATAGGATTATTCATATCATTTGCTATATATAATAAATTATATTTAGAATATTATACATTCGTTTAAACCTATAGAAGGATCAACTTTCATATATTATTCAAAAATATTAATACAAATGCAAATAATGAAAATAATACTTTCGATGTAAATATAGAATTTTGGTCCTACACACTTACGATAAAATTTCAAATAATAACGAAAAATAAATCCTCTCTATATAACTAATCTTTCTTTGCTTCATATCTCATGTAAACATGGTTTTAGTAGAAAGACTCAAAAAGAATAGATATACACTTATAATACACAATATCTTTGAAAATATATTTAAGATATTTGAAAATTTTTAAGAATATTAATATATTGTAATATCTTTTTGAACAGGGCATTATATCAAATCCCACAACTCCTTCAATAACTGTTACAGGTGAAGGTAATCAAGTAAGTATATTTTTACTGTACATTAAATTGCGAAACATAATAAGTCATATTAAAATTCTTTTGGCAGTACAAATTTAGGGTGGCAGAAAATATTTACATTATCTTAATAAAAGTCATATTTTTATAAAACATTTTACCGCTTGATAATATAAAATTTTCGTTTTAAGAACAAAAGTTTCGTGCAAGTGGAAAAGTGAATTTAAACTATGTCCGGCATTAGGTTTCATTGCCTATGGTGTAAATTTTTATTAAAACATTTCCAACAAATTCAACTTTAAAAACTGCGGTTATACTGCATGCGAATTTTGTATTGCGTGTTCGTGCGAACAAATCAAATTTACATATATTAGTAGTTACAGTTGCTAAGAATTATTCGTGTAACATTTTGTCTCGCTCGTGCGAACATTTGTTTAAACAAAACATTTTGTTTGAACTTCATTAGTTCGTGAGAAATCAAAGATGGATATAGTGGAATTGAGAGATGTGTGTTGTTTTAATATAATTTTAATTTTATAAATGGAAATATATGTGAAAACATCTCTTTATTAAAATACAGACAGACTCTTCATTTTGATCCTTGATGTATAAAAATCATGCACCCAAGTTTATCAATTTAAAAGTTATGTAAGAAGTGAAAAAAGAAGGAGCATTTAAAATAGTTTTTTTTTTGGCTTTATAAAAAAAAATTTTAGATTGTATATTAAAGAATATTTTAAATTGAAATATTTATTTCGAAGACATACAAGGATTTAAATTATAATAATTTTTTTTAACAGCCTGGTTCAGCATGCCCCCGCAGTGTTTCACCACCGGCGCAACCGGTAAGAATTAAAATAAGTTAAATAGAATATAAATATTTTTATACATTAAAAAAAATTTTTGGTCAGATGTGCATGATAAAAGTGTTTAAATACTTAAGTTCATATAATCTATTAAAATAATTTTAATAAATGAAATAATAATTTCATTATTGCATAAAAAAGTAAGCTTAACAATATATGCATATAATAACACACTTAATAATGATGTTATGTTTTATTATAAATAAATTTAACACATTCATATACTATCATCATATATACTATCATCATGTCATCATATATATGATGTATTATATATTATATATACTATCATTGTGGCAATTTTCATAGACAATATTTTGATGGTATATAACTGTTTGCTTTGGATGGTATTCAGATTTATTATTATTCTAAAAATATAATACGTAAAATAATTCACAAAACTTAAACCCAACATACATTAAAATATATATTATCACTTCATTATTTACAATTTGAATTAATCTTAGAAACTTCCATATTTTTCATATTAGAGACGACGAAGATGGACCCTTTCTGGACAACGGAATCCATGTGTAAGTATTACTTGAATATGCATCAGATAATAAATATTACTTAATTGTATTTTTCCATTGTTAACTTTACACAGCTGACTTAACACTCATAATCATACATATACTATTATCATAATCATTATTATATTCCAACTAATATAGCAAGAAGTGCTTCAGAAAAACTCCAATTAATACTATGGAGAAATTTTGATTGTTGAAATTTCAGATATGGAAGGTTAAAAGCAGAATTTCTAGATTCATTTTTATTTTTAAAATGGCAAAAATGTTGTAAATGCAAGAAAAAAATATTGAAAGTATAGGGAAAAATGTTTTTACCTAACGCCAGTGCCAAAATATATATCTAAAATTTCCGTTCCCCAATTTTGAAGTTCAAATCTCTCAAATCTTGAGATTAAATTATTATCCTCATGTTTGTACCACTAAAAATTTGTTTAGTTACGCTGACGTTGATGATTTATTTTTCAAATAAACATATAGAAAATTATGCAACTTTATAACTAATCATCACTGGGTACGAGAAATGAGTTATCTATAATAACGCCAGAAATTATGGAATTAAAATGACTTTTAAAACATACTTTAAAATCCGAAATTCTTTGCAAAAAGGTGATGCAGTCTATTTAGTGGGATTATAAAGCATGTGTAGTTTGGATAGGATATATTGTCATAACACAATATTGTAGCACTTCCAAGTTGTTATTAATCCCAGTTCCCACACAAATTTATAACCGATTAAATCATTACTTCAAATGAGGATGTGAAAAATCAACTAAATCTATTTTTTGTCAGCAAAAAAAAAAAATTTCTAGTAGCCTGGAATCTTGCTACCATCAAAAAGATGTCAGAAAGTATTGGACCAAAATGGACTATATAGTCTAATGAAATATTATTCAATATAAGAAAATTCTGATTCATTATTAAAACCAAACGAAATTACCTTCGAACAGTCTTATATTAATTTTGCTTAGTTAAACTTCTACCATATATCATACAAATACACCTAATATAACATAAGTTAAAAATGCAGATAAATTATGTTTTTTTAAAAAAACGTTTTTATAAAAATAAGGAATTCAAAATTCCGAAAATTAATAATCATACATTTTCGTACATGTAGACTACTCCAGGATGGCTTAATGCGGCTCGAGGTACTGCGCAACAGGCAAGTAATATAACATATATTATCAATTTATCTAAATAAAATAGCCTGATTAAAGATCTCTTCGTACTTCGGCTTCTGCCATGCAACAGGAATGTTCTGATGTGTATTTAGATTTTATATATAAAATTGGCAGAAGTATATCATATTATATCATCTATATCATATCATATATTATATCATATTATATTATTATTGGGATTGTAAATCAAGCTCAGAATGAACTATAAATAATATAAAGCAGATTGTTTGGTTGATTTCGGCTAAAATGAACTCTCTTGTATCGAAGGGGTATATTATAAATTTTATGATCTATATATTATGTGTTATATTTTTATAATTATAATACTAAGTAATATACAAACAGTTCTGCAAAAGAATCGATTCGTTAATTTTATTCAAAGTATGAATTAGCATTTCTAAACGGAATAAAAATATTTTTAAAGAACTATTTTAGGCAAAAACTACACAATAAGAAAAATAATAATATCAGTAATAATATATTTTGTTTTCCACAGCCTAATCCAACATGTCCTAGCAATTCTCCACCTGTGGCGCAATCGGCAAGTATTGTAATAAGTTATATCCAATCAATACTATATTTACGCGTATTAAAAATATTTGTTATCACAAGTATAACTATTACATATATTCTATATATTCTTCAGGAATGAAATTTTTTTTTAAATTTAATCAACATAACCAATTGAAATTTAAACGCTATATAGATACATTTACATATGTTTTACAGCATTCAAAATTTTTAACCTTAAAACGAGTTCCTGTCTGAATACCTAATCATGAAAACATTCATTGACTGTATAGTTAATATAGTCATAAAAACTTGTTTTAGAATAATTTCAAATATTGGGTATTAGCAATATTTTGGCTAATACCCAGTTTTAACTGTATTACAGGAAAGGAAAAAGTGGAACATAGTTTTTTTCATAGACATAATTTAATTGTTTTTAGATTAAAAAATTTTGTAATTTGATTTTCTTTTAATCTTAGGGTCGAAGGAGATGGTCTGTTTCTGCAGCACAAAAACCATGTGTAAGTTCTTTAACATTTTAAATGAAAAAATTATGTCCTTATTCTCAATAACTTTCTTTATTTTACCACTAATTCCATTTTTCAACCTTACGTTGTCTTTAAACCATTTTGGGTCATTTTTTTGTTAAAGTTCTTTATAGCTTTTTTGCAGTTAATATATCGAAATTTAACACCACATAATGAAGTGATTTTTGAAGTATTGCTATTACCAAAAAGTCAATTATTTTTTGGGATTGAGAAAAATTAAGACTTACAAATCGTGTTTTTTGTTCCATTTTGGTCCTAATGCGGATAAGTTTATCATATTTATATAGTAGCCGAAACAAACGTTTTCTTTAAATTTTTCTTTAATAGTAACTTCGGCAGGATACGTGTTCTTTTTTTCTGAACTATTCTCATGTATGTTAATTTCCCCTCCAGAACATTTTTTGCCAAGTCAAGACTTGTTATTTTTTCCTTTCAAGCCGTTGGTCAAGTCCAACCACACGTTAGTCTTGATTTTTCTTTGGCTGTCTGTTTGCTGGCTTTCGAAGGTACTACAACCTCACCTTCCAAACATAATTTGCTCTAGAGTCGACAGACAACCAAAATTTTAAACCATATTCAGCCAGTTATTTGGCATCTATCGCCTTAAGGAGCATCGCCATCGAAAAACTACTAGTATCTCATCTATGTTTATGTTTTCATCATTTTCCAATGTTTCCAGAAATGACAAAAATAATTCGTATTTTGAACACTACTATCTTTTAAATAATTTATTTATTTCTTGGAACCTAAAAACTAAAATGAGGGGAATCACAAAAGCAGAATCCCAGGAAATGTTTTGATGACATAGTATAAGACATTAAAATATTAAACCAATTAATTATGTATAGTTCTTTTTTTATGTAAATATCAAATCAACAAAATAAGAATTTAAAATAATAACAAAAAAAATCTTTGACCAGATTTTAATGAAAAGTGCCACATGGACCAAAATGATCCAAAAGATAGGGTTTGTAATTTTTTTTTTTTGGACTAACGTAAAGGTTAAATGCTACAGAATCATTTCATATACTTAGAATTAGACAGTTTTTATAAAACTAAATAAATTATATTTTCTTTTAAACAGTCTACTCCAGGATGGCTTAACTCTACACTACCTACATCGCAACCGGCAAGTACTAAATTAAAATGCATCTATATAAAGAATAATTCGAGCGTTAATATATATATATTTTATATAAATACATGCACGAAAGCAATATAAAACTAAATAAAATTATATTTCTTTCGAAATAGTCTATTCCTGGATGTCCTAACACTACACTACCTGCGCAGCAACAGGCAAGTACTAGAATACGCAATAGTGATTAAATGCATATATATAACTATTGCTTTTAGTGTAAAAATTTAATATATTATATTTTAATTATATACATATGTGCATAACAATCAATATATATAAATGATAAAAATATATATTAAATTAAAAAAAAAACGCCAAAAAAAGTATGACTTAAAGGCTGTGTTCTACAATATTGTATAATGTTGGATATTATGTCGATGTAGTAATGCAGAAAGATATTTGGGTTATCTATTTTTTTAAATTGTATTGAAAAAAAATCATTTTATTTTATGTAGGAACAATGATTGATTGTTATTTATGTGTTATTAATTTTTATGATATTTAAAATACTGAATGCTTACAAAACAAACAACTAAATAAAATTATACATTATTTTTAATAGTGCGCTCCAGGACCGCTAAATGCCACCATGCCTACGCCGCAAGAGGCAAGTACTTAAATAAGCAACAGTCATTAAATACACATATATATATATATATATATAACTAATAATAAGATAGTAGCGTAAACATAAAATACATTGTATTGTTTTGATTAGATATGTACGCATAAAGAGATTTGTTTTTATATTTTTAATATAAGTCATTTTTGAACTCTACATGATCGAATTTCGATAAGTAAAATGAATTATATATATCACACTAATCTTTCTTTTCATCATATCATATATGATATGCAGATATATTATATATATGTATAATATATACTCAATATAAAATTATTAGAATTTTTTTTATTGTCAATCTTAGGGCAGAAGAAGATGGACCATTTCTGCACAGCAGAAGCCAAGTGTAAGTACTCTGAAATTATTGTAATATTAAAAATGTTCAATTAGTAATTTTACGTCGACCCTTCTAAGTAAATAACTTTTGTTTTAACATAAAATATTTTTTTTATATAACTGCTAAACAGTTTTATAATCTTATAATATAAAATCTAATGTATGTAAAGTTAGCACTCTGAAAAATAAAATTTTTATTTTTAAAAATAATACACGTTATATATGAAAACATAACCTTTCTTTTTTTAAAACCCAAAAATGACGGTGACAACTTTACATACATTAAAAATTATTTGAAATTTTGAATATATGTATATAAAGTAGTCCATGATATATACAAGATTGTTTCTTTTTAAATAGGGTACTCCAGCATGGCTCAAGGCTGTTCGTCAGGCAAGTAATAAATTAAGTTAATACCTTAACAAAAAAAATATATTATATCGAAGAAAAAAATGTTACTTTCAACACATTTTTTACATATTATTATATAGCATATCTCTCAGTTATCTTCTTCTTATTTATCGATGTACATTAAATGTTTTCGACTTTATGCGGTGAGATACTAGTACACTTTATAAGTAGTAACCGTTCCTTCGCATTTTACTAAATTCACACGCATCTTGTATTTTTCCAAATATTGATATATATCGGATTATTCATAATGTACTGTATATGTAGGTAATACGAAAAATTTCAACATATGGAAAAGTACAAGAAGCTTGCGAATTTGGTAAAACAAATCTTTCAAAAATAATATTCTAGATTTTTTGCGACTTTTTTTGATCTGATTTATTAATATATAATCCGAAACACAGTGTTTTTCATGTTTCCACCAAATTGACTATAAAAAAATAGGTAAGCATTCTTACCTAAGGCATTCTTTCTAAAACTTGTCTTCATTATTTTAAAATTCTTCAAATATCTCTTAATAAAATTTTTTTTCGTAGGAAAAATTCGTAGATTTTTTAAATCTATTTTTATATATTTATTCGTCCTAAGTTTGATGAAGAAACGAAAAATGCATCTTTTAAAAAACAATTTTTTTAAAAACATTTATAAATTTGAGGTTTTAAATCTTATTTTAAGCTTTAATCTGGTATTGCGAAAGATATAGGTGTCTAGATGAAAAATGAGTTAAAGACTAAATAAAGCACATCAGCCTCAATTTGACTTAAAATTGCTTAAGAATTATAAAAAAGACTTAATTGTCATACAGCGTTATTTAGTTAACAGGAGTGCGTTCTGGCAAGAATTAAAGGACTTGCAACTCTTAATTTTTTGTTCCATAGATGTAATATTATTTGTTAAACTATTTAAAATAGGATTATAGTAAGTTTGTTAGACAATATTTATGCAATTCATGCATGTGGTAACCCGCTAAGAGACTACGAATTTGACCCATAAAACAAATTTTTAAAATTTTTCTCCTTTTTTAATTATTTTCTATTTAAATTAAATAAGCCATTCACATCACATCACACGAGAACTGATTTAATTTTTTATGTAATCTTTATTTTTTTTTTACACTTTTAAAATTTCGTATATATAATATTATATATTTTTTAGAACGCGTGTGCAGCGGCTAGCGATTCCCCACAAGTAAGAAACGTTTCTGTTAAATGATTAATTAATCAAAATAAAGAATTATATTTAATAATTAATTTTTAAATTAATTTAAGTTGTAATGAAATTTATCTTTATTAAAAAGATATTTAAAAGATTCAACTTAAAGAATTTGTTTTAATACCTTTTCAGCGAACATGTGATAACCAACCGAATGCCTGTGGATCCCCTGCATCACCAAATGTAATATAAAAATATTTCGTTTTAACAAATTTATGTTGTATAGTATTAACAAACAAAAAACCTTATTACTTATTATTGACTACAAAAATTAAATATTGGTATTGTGATATAAGTGTAATAGAACCCATGTAATAGATTTTTAAGAAATAATTAATAGATAATATATAATATAAAACAGATAATACATAATAGATAATAGATTATAAATAACAGATAATACATAATAGATAATAGATGATAATAGATAACAGATAATCAATGAATCAATGATAGATAATAATTATTGCAAAAGAAATAATAGAAATGGAAATTATTTACAAAAAAAATTAAAAAATAAAGAAATAAAAAAAATCATTTCCTTGAATGTCCTCCTCATCGTTCGACAGAATCCATTCTTTTAGTATTACTGGTAAGTTGAGTTAGATTAGAATGGAGTGACATGTGTTGCTGTAAAACGTCTATTATTCTATGCTCTGGTATTGCTTTGAAGAACCAAGAGAAAGCTTAAATCAAATATAACAAAATATATTTTTGTTCAAAGCAATATTCCTTTGCATTTTACAGAAAAACTAGTTAGAAAAACTAGAACTAGAAAAAAGTAACAGTTTTGCCATTTAGTCATTGAATTATATAACGCCGAAATATATATCGCATGAAATAATGAAAAAATCAACCTTCAAAGATAGATAACCCTCAGTGAACTTAACACTTCACCTCAAAAAAATAGCTTTTTCAGCATTCAAATTTGATTAACGGAATTACTACAATTTGCTCTCCCACATCGAATAGTTAATACGTGAACAACATTATTTCTCTTCAGATAAAACCATTGAGACATTCATAACCCATGTTGACACATGGGTCTCAAATAGAATGGAAGCTTTAGTGATATATTATTAGGGCGAATCAAGGGGTTTTTATTTCTAGATCATGTATTGATTACAGATAGTAGTTTTTAAATATATTTTCTCATCCCAATTAGTTGAAACTACTGTCTTATACAGGTATCCAAAATACAGAATGCGCAGATTAGTAAAAAAAAATTTAGTAAATTATTAACAAAATTAAAATCATTAGCCCAATTTACATTTTAACACATTATTTCATTTTTTTAGCAAAGTTTTTAAAATTAAAAAATTCATTTGATAAACAAAAAAAATTAAATTGTAATTCTTTAAATAATTCTTTATATAACAGGCCTCTCCACCACGTGCCGGAAGTCCTCAACGAATGGCAAGTATTTAAAAAATTAATCGAATATTTTCATTTTACAATATAAGTAAGGCAATACATATACAATCAGAACATATGAACAAAATATATAAATTATTAAAGTTTCTATACATTTTATTACTATATTATTACAGTCCTTATATTTCATTCAAATCATATTGACATAAATAAATGACGTTTTAACATAATATAGAAACCACTACGCTTATAATAGATTATATTACTAGACGATTCTATAATATATATCTTTGCCAGTATTAAGTGAATCAAAAATACAACAAATAAATATCATTTAAGAAATTATGTGTAATTATTATCTTGTAACAACTGATTATTTTCTTTCATAAACAGTCTAGTCCATGTCCTGCAACTCCTCAACGAATGGGAGAATCGGTAAGTATTCAAATAATTATGATCGAATGTAGGTATATAATTGTAACGAAATTTCTTAAAGTTCTCATAACAATTTAGTCATCCCGACGGGAATTTTTGAAGTGTTCTTTTAAAATATATACTTGTCTAATAGTACATCAAATGCTTTATTAAGTGATACCAGTATAACATATGTTACTATTAATAACTGATTATAAAAGAAAAATTTTCAGACTCTTACATAAAAAGTTTTAAAATTATAATTATTTAAAATATGGAAATATAATTGATTACTTTTTTTCGTAAACAGCCTGGTCCATTATTTAAAACTCCATCATCTGTATCACGTCGGGTATGTATCTAAATAAGTAACATCAAATACATTTATTTATATATTTATTTATTCAAATATTTACATTTAAAATATTATATAAATGTTTACTTAATCCACACAACCAAAATAATGTTAACTATCAACTTTCACATGTTGTGTTTTATTCATATTATTTTGGCAAAAATAATTGATAAAAATAATAAATTAAAACATAATAATTGTGACGACTACCATAAATAAATCAGAGTTACAAGGGGAATTTATATATATAATCAAACTGATAAGACCAAAAGAGGATGCTGAAACCATCCATACTAAAGAGAGCAGGAAACAACTGATGCAAACTCGTCAAATCGATACGGGTAAACAGTTCCCATTCTTACAAATGGAAGACATTAACCCAGCAAAGGCATGCTATCGCTTCGGATGAAAAGGACATGATAGCAAGGAGTTGCCGCAATCCACAGATTTTGTTCTGTTGCCAGTGTGATCAGAGGGGTATGAGATTAATAGAATGTCGCCAAAAATCAACGTTCAGGAAAACAGACGGAGGTCACGGCACTTTATTTAGGCAAATTGTGACTTAGCGCCTACCTAGCAAAAAAAAATAATAAAGAAATCACTAATAAACATCTCATCTAATCCGAATTTTAGCAATAATTAAAGACAAGAGATAAGACTAATTTACTTGCGAAACTTGCTTTCCGCAAAGAGCAGTCAGTTCTTTTGTTAGAGGTTGGTCCAATCAACCAATTGTATTGAAATGACTTAATTTTTGCTGCAGTTTTCTTGTATAAATTTTTTGCAAATATTACTTTACTATACACGGCAGGCCTAGTCTGTTGCCATCCTCACCGAAATTTTCATTTTTTTTAATCAAGATTTTGATGTTATTAGGATAGTGTAGTATATAGATTATAGATTTCCACATATATTATATTAATATAAAATATATCATGTACATATGGAGACTAAATATATTTTTTTTACTATAAACAGCGTAGTCCATGTCCTAGAACTCCAGTAAATATGGAGGAGCCGGTAAGTATTGGAATATTTATCATTAAATATATATATGTACATTCATTCAATATACAATACATATTTTAAAAACCAATTCAATGTGAAGCACATATGACAAATGTATATAAACTGTAAAATTTTATTTTATTTCGATTAATTTAACATAAATTTTACATATTTTTGTGTTCGTGATAGACATAGACAGTAATATTGACAGTAAACAGTAATTTGTGTTCTGGTGTTTTAGTAAAAAAAGTTAAATAAATATTTATTAGATACTTTGTAATCAGTTTAATCTAAGAGTTTACAACTCTTAATATAAGCTCTGGAATTGCTACGGTCAAGACAATCAAGGAAACCTCCAGGGGTTTAAAAATCAAGAGTAAGGTTAAATTAAATGCAACAAAATTTTTTCTTGGTCAAAGCAATATTCTTTTGCATTTTACAGAACAACTAGTTAGAAAAAATAAAACTAGAAAAAGTAGTAGTTTTACCATTTGGGCAATGTAGTTCATTTTGAATCACCGAAATATATATCGCATAAAATAATGAAAAAACCAACCTTCAAAGATAGATAACCCTCAGTCAGTATAGTGTGAACTTAACACTTTACCTCAACTTTTTCAGCATCCAAATTTGATTAACGGAATTACTACAATTTGCTCTCCCACATCAAATAGTTAATACGTGAACAACATTATTTCTCTTCAGATAAAACCATTGAGACATTCATAACCCATGTTGACACATGGGTCTCAAATAGAATGGAAACTTTAGTGATAAATTATTAAGGCGAATCAAGGGGTTTTTATTTCTACATCATGTATTGATTACAGATCGTAGTTTTTAAATAAATTAAATTAAATAAATTTTCTCATCCCAATTAGTTGAAACTAATATCTTAAACAGGTATCTAAAATACAGAACGTGCAGATTATAAAAAAAATTTAGTAAATTATTAACAAAATCAAAAACATTAGCCCAATGTTCCTTGAATTCACATTTTGAAATATTATTTCATTTTTTTTAGCAAAGTTTTTAAAATTAAAAAATACATTTGAGAAACAAAAAAAATTAAATAGCAACTCTTTGAATAATTCTTTATATAACAGGCTACTCCAAGATGTCCCAGAACTCCTCAACGTCTGGTAAGTATTTAAAAATATATTCGAATATTTTTTTTTATAATATAAGCAATATATAAACAATTTGAAATACATAAGCAAAATATATAAATTACTAAAGTTCTTGTATATTTCATTACTATATTGTTAAAGTTCTTATATTTCATTAAAATCATCTTGACAGAAACATAACACAAACATAATGCAGAAACCATGTACATCAAAAAATCAACTAACACAAAATATAATATTGCTTGTATAATACATTGTATTACTCGACGATTCTTTAATATAGAACTTTGCCAGTATTAAGTGAATCAAAAATACAACAAATAAATATCATTTAAGAAATTATGTATAATTGATATCTTGTAACAACTGATTATTTTCTTTCATAAACAGTGCAGTCCATGTCCTGAGACTCCTCAACGAATGGAACAATCGGCAAGTATTCAAATAATTATGATCGAATGTAGGTATATAATTGTGACAAAACTTTTAAAAGTTATAATAAATTAGTCATCACAACAGGAATTTTTGAAGTATTTTTTACTTGTGTTGTAATACATTAAATGCTTCATTTAATGTTATAATTTACTAACTGATTACTCGTATAATAAAAAATTTTTTCAGGCTCTTACATCAAAAGTTTTAAAATTATAATTATTTTAAATATGGAAATAAAATTGATTACTTTTTTTTCATAAACAGCCTTGTCCATTGTTTAAAACTCCATCATCTGTACCACGTCGGGTATGTACCGAAATAGCAACATCAAATATATTTGTTTGTGCAAATATTTATATTTGAAATTTTATATAAATATTTATTAATATATAATTTGATGATTATTTAGAAAACAGAAATAAAATTAATAACTTGTTTTTTTTAAACAGCCTAGTCCATTATTTAGAACTCCTTCGACTGCACAACGTCGGGTATGTATCAAAATAAGGCAACATCAAATACATTTATTTATATATTTATTAATTCAAATATTTACATTTGAAATATTATATAAATATTTATTAATATAATGTATATTTGTATAAGTTAAATCCTGACCTACTTCAGTTAGCCGAAATAATGCTAACTATTATCGTTTATAAGTCGTATTCATTGATATTATCTTGGCAAAAATAATTGATCAAACAAAAAAGTGAAAACATAAGATTTGTGACTATTATAAAATATAAAATATAAAATATAAAATATAAAATATAAAATATAAAATATAAAATATAAAATATAAAATATAAAATTAAAATAAAAAGTAAACTTATTAATTTGCTAGAAGTAAAAATGCAAATTTGCACTAAGTTTTTTTCATTGAGCAAAAATAAAGCAACAGAATTCATAGTAGACATTATTTTAACAAAATAGTAAGTGGAGCTGTAGTCTACTACATCAAGTTGTATATTACTGAGTAAACTAACATAACTAAATCTGCAACGTAAAATAAATTACTTAGTAAACCAACATAGCGAAATTGATAACGATGAAGTCAATTCCATAGTATACCAACGCGGCACACCTTAGTATACTGATCGTATATATTTTGAGGACTTCACAGAACACTCAACAGGATCTGCAGTGAAACAATGTAATCGTTGGTTAAAGTTTGAGGGAACCAAACATACACTACAGATCACTTCTCGCTTAATAAGCTTATTAGAAATACATAGGAATATCATCTTCGAAGAAATAAGAGTCAAAGAACTCTTACAAACGAAGATCGCAACAGCCTTTGTAATTGACTAAGTACGAAAATAGTTGATAAAATACAGTGGAAGACCAGATTCCATTTTTTCCATTAAACGGCTTAAAGAAGAACTCGTAGATATTTACGATATTCATGCCACGATGAACTTTGCCTTAACTTTTGAAAAACAAAGCGCTAATATGGTTCAGACATAATTGCCGCATTAGGACTGGTTGAATTGATTTAAAGGAGTACTTTCTATGATTTTTCTTACTGCATCGCAGTCTTAAAACAGCTTAGCTTGTTATCTTTGAAATAAATAAAAAAGACCTCAAAAAATACCTCCTTGCCATGCAACAATTGTTAAATAGGACATTCCATAACAACAGATCAGAGTATCTACTTTACATATATAAAACAGGAAATTTGAGTCCTTAATCTAACTTATAATTCTAGCAGAGGTAGATAGAAATTTCAATTACTGCTACTATTGACTCAGAGGCAATCAGAACCGTGAAGTACCGTAAACTATCCTAGCTATCAACGATCGCGAAAAGGTCATAAGGTCAAATAAGCACTTTAAATATAATAATGCAATCATACTATAACAGATGAAGCGGAAGAACGAACGAATTCTTCTCATTCGATTAAGAAAGCCGTTTTAACGTCACATTAATGGGTGAAAAAATGATCATATAGTCAACAACCAACCGGATGCATTGATGAAGCAAATATCTAACCAATACTTATGCTGGAAATATCGCAGAGTGTTTCAATGAATGGGACGAACAATAGCTTAAGCCTCATTCTAAACAAACCTTGACATAGACACGGAATATTATAATATCGTAACGTCATCAAGTGCCAACAGTTAAAATTATAATAATACTACCATACCTTTTCTAAAATAAACTACAAAGAAAACAAACAATACTTGGAAAATTATATACATATATAAAAAACAAAATAATTTTTTTTTTGAACGATGTAGTCCATATCCCTTGAGTCGTCCACGAATGTCGATATCGTCCAAAATATGTAAATTATGATAGCTTATAACCTTCATTTGGTCGTATTGAAAGAAACACTCTTAAACACTTTTAGTGTACTGTTCTTGAACGCTTTAGAACAGGGAACAGCTTAAAAACCCTGAAAAGTTTAAGAGAACTGGTCTTATTCATTAGAACAAGCTTCATTATATATAACACACATGCTTCTCAATTGAATGCAATTAGAGAACACCTCAGAGATCTTATACTTAATATTTTTAAAATAATATATACTCCGAAAACAAATTGGTTAACAAATTTTCTTTTCATATAAACAGGCGAGTTTTTCCACATCCTTTTGTACGCCGCAAGGGGTAAGTATTTATTTATGATTTATTTATTTAAGATATTTATTTTTATATATAGCTTAAATATTATTTTTATATAATTATTTATATTAAAAATATGTGAAGAGTCATCTTCACACATATACGATCAAAGTATCAATATAAGTATCGCGCATATCTAAAGAAAAATGTAAATAGTTTGCATAATAGCTTAAGATATTATTTTATAGATATTTTTTTATTAAATAAAGGGGCAAAGCAACTATTTAGTAATAAATTGTTTTCAAAAGCTTATACGTAATATATCTAATAACTTGAAAAATGGTTTTCTAAATAAATGTTTTTATTCCACAAAACACCAAAACGTAAACATGAGTTATGCCTTTCTAAAAAGAGTATATATCGTATAATACTAAAAGATCGCAGTCTGAAAATACCAATAAATTAATACATTCAGTTCAACTACTTAGAAAATAATTCTTTCAACATACAACTGACTGTTTGGCGTTACTTTAGTACTTTAGTATATTCTGGAAATGAAATATAGAGTATTCTGATGCTATTACTTCAAATAAAATATTTAAAAATACAAACTTTTTGAAAACATATAAAGAGCGGAATAATAATATAATAATTCTTTTTATAGGGTAACCGATTGTGTCCTGGAACGCCTACAGTGCAAGAGGTAAGTATCGGTATAAATATCACCAAATTTATATATTTAAAAGCATATATAAAAAAATTTTATTGATCAAGTACATTCTATCATAATGTATAAATCTTAATGATTATATATTTTTTTAAATATATTATACACGAAAAATAATATGTATATACATAATATATACATAATACTTATTATAACGTCCAACAGGTATTTAAAAATAATTCATGTATTAAAACCTATTTAAACATGTTAGACACTCTACATAAGTTAGAACTAGGTTAAGTTTGTTTTTCATTATTATTTTATCTATTTTTATGATTAAGAGCTAACCACTAGAGAATATTATACTAAAAAAGAAGCGAACTTAGAACAGTCTTGGAATTCCTCAAAATTATTAATAAACCATTTTATATTGTAAGTTATTTTGTTCATATATTCCATATAATTTTAATTTATAAAATTCAAGATACTGCTTTTTAATCCAATAAATTTTAATAGACTACTATATATAAATAATAGACTACCTATGTTACTTAAGAAAAATATATGTTGAACAAAAAGTATTAGTGTATGTGATCTATATGTAATAGCGATATAAATATTATTGCAATTCAATTATTGATTTGCTCATATTCAATATTAATATAAAAAATTACTTGTATATATGCAAAACTCAAGGAACTAAATATTACTTTTTTTACTTTAAACAGTGTAGTCCTAGGACTCCAGAAAATACGGGACGACCGGCAAGTATAGAAATGTTTAACAAATAGAATAGAAATGTTTAATATACATATATATATTTTTATATATTTATATGTTATATGTATTCATTGAATATAATATATATATTATAAAAATCAACGGCAATATCTGCTAAATTTTATTTTGTTTCGTTAAATCAAACAAAAATGATAGATTGAATGCTGAAGCTTGGTAGTTACAGTCCAACAAATTATATACAGACTATAAACTAAATAAATAAAAATTCGAATATTTTTAAAATCAATGATGATCATCACTGGGCAATACTTGAAATAATGTTGTGTAGTCAACCAAATTTTTGAACAACTTTAACGTCCAAAAAATAATTTCCTTACATTGGCAAATTAGTTAACGCTAATTTTGTTTAGAGTGTGTAATGATAACGAATATCGGCAAGTTGACATTTGGCAGTAACATTATTTTCTGTGTAACAAGTTATCGAAATGTACACATCAAAGAAATCACACAATTTTGTATTGACAAGCAAAACATGTTCTTACTTCCGGCGCAGTAGCTCCAAATGTCATGAAATATTGACAGAATACCAGTAATTGCGAAAAAAGTCTTTTTTACTTTATAACAGATCTTGGGTATCGCGAAAGTTTTTATATAATACCGAATTATGTATATGGCCTATAATAATAATGACATTATAAAATGATAAAATAAAAAACCTTTTTAATAATGCAAGTGTTTGAAAACATTTGGATACTAATACTACTAACGATAGTAGTTGTTTAATACTAACGATATTTTTTTTTGTTTTTAAATAGGTTGATAAAATATTTACTAGCACTCCCGTACCACAGTCCAGGGAGGTAAGTATTGAAATGAGTACCATCAAATGTGTAAACATATTCATCCTTGTTTTTATGAATTAGTAAAAATTTTAGTTCAAACATATGTATAAATGTGATATTATATATGGTATATTAATCGTATATATTAAGAGAAAATTTTAATAAAATGTAACATAAATTTTATATTCTCATATCAATTTAAATTAACAATATATTAGCAATAATATAAAAACTAGATAGATTTTATAATTTAAAAATTTTCGCACTGCAAGAAATTTATATATTATAATATAAATTATAATATAATTGTAATATAATTATAATATTATTGTATATATAATACACATAAAAATTATGCTTAAAAAATATTCATTTATCATATAAATACAATTGATTTTAGAAATCCATAGACTTTATTCATTTACATATTCTATAGCAAAATTATTTCAACACATCTCTTCTGTTGCATAATGTACTAAGAACTTTAAAGTAGTGCTCAAACCTCTTTCCCATGGGCCACCTATTGCAGTTTATAAGCGGATGCTAGTCTAAAGGTCACAAATAATTAGCTGTGGAAGCAGTTCGAAACATTTATTTGATTTATATCATTCAATCCAGATAGACATAATTTTTTTCTAATATATTTTACAACTGATTACTTTTCTGGTCACTTTTATTGATCTTTGCTGGTTCTTTTTAACTCAGAACTAGAAATATGCCTTCGTAATATGCTTAGCCATGATTGGTTTATAAATATATATCATATTTGGAGTTTCCTCTCATTATGCTTTATGTGTGTATATTGCGTTTAAAGTCATCAACTTATAATATAGTTGTATATTTATATATATAATATTAAATATATAAATTTATCTATATACATATATTCTATATATAATCTATAATCTATATATATAATTTTATACTCAAAAAGTTGATGCTATTATTCAAATATGGTCCACACTTTCTTTTGATATTTATATTTTTGATTTAGCAATCTTGTTAATAATTAGATATACATCAACTAGTCCAAAGGAACAACTTAATGTAATTAAGAAAAAATATAAAGATATAAGTAATTTCTTTATCAAATGCTACCCTTGTCTAAAAGTAATATATACTACATATTACGATAATAATAGTTATTAGTTAAGAATAATTGTTTTTATTTAAATATAATAATTGTTATTGTTAATAATATAAATTATCAGTAATTGTTTATAAATATAACATATTTTGAAAATAATTAATATTAATTATTAATTATTATTAATTTTAATTATTAATTATTATTAATATTAATTATTAATATGCATTAATAATAATTATTAATATTTATTAATAATAATTATTAATACTTAAAGAAATAAATTGTATTAATTATTATAAATGAATAATTTTAATTGTTATTAATAAACAATATTGATTGTTTGTAATTTGTAGTAAAAATTTTCGAGAATTAATAATATTAAGTTTTATTAATTTGGGATTATTATTGGTATTAATTGATAATATTATTTGTTATTAATAAGTATTATTATAAATTGCTACTAATAATTGTTATTAATTGTATTTACTATCAATTTACTATCAATTTTAAATTTTATAGAATAGACTACAAATTTGTGCAAAAAATAATATATAAACTTCAGTTATATTAATTACGAAATATTTGTTATATGCTCTTAAGAATTTATTTATTAATATTTTCTCTTAAGGGCACTCCTTCAAATCCTTCAACTCCAACATGTCCAAATGTATCGAGGGTAAGTTTATTTTAAATTTAAATATTTTCGTTCAAAAATTATAATAAAAGATTATTTAATGTTATGTAATAATTATTTATATATTGACTACTAAGTTATCAGAAAAAACAATATATAAACAAAAGCTTTTATTTTTTATTTTAAAGGAATTTTTCGCACCTCAGAGAGCACGTGCGAGTACACTTGATTGCAGTGTAATACCTGTAAGTATATTTCCTAGTTTTCCACCAATTAATTTGAAAATATATCAAAATAGTTTATACAATTATATAAAATATATATTAATATTTTCTTTAGCGGATAACTGGTAGAAACATAGAATTAAATTTCGTAAGTAAATCAAAATTATTTGAGTAAAATATATTTTAAGTTTTTTTAATATTTCAAAATCAATTTTCTTAGATAATATAAGTGTCTTTTGATATATAAATTCTTTCAAGAAAAATTTTTTTACATAGATAGAAAATTATGCTAGTTTAGGAACTAAATAGGTGTAAAAACTTGAAGTTCTTCTTATTCGTTATAATATGATATTTAGCTTAGCCGTTGCAGAGCACAGAGTGCAATAAAGGGAATAATACCTCTGTAATATAATGATTTCTCTTTGGCCTTAAAATACGCTTCAGTATAGGTGACGAGTTTTTCATCGGTATCAAATCTCCTTCCCCTATAGCAGTTTTATAGATCTGTGAAAAGGTATAATTTACAAAGAGCAAATCAAGCAAATACGATGGATCTGGAAGCAATCTCTTTACTTAAAACGATCATACAGATATCAGGCTTTATAATATTTTTTGCCAAAATCATACACCCGATCGCATATCATATACATACATCATATCGCATAATATACTATTAATTTTAATACGATCAGCTTTCAGTAAAATATTCTGAAACAGATCTGTAACCACAGACTAGGCAATAGCCGTCAATTAAATACATATTTTTATTAAGGGTACAAGATTATATACATTTAAGTTGTATAAGTAACTTTTAAATAAAATATGAATCATATAATAACAAGAATTCGCAACTTAACTTAACTCAATCGACAAAAAAGGTGGTTCTGTAAACTACGCGATCAGTCTTTTGAATACATAATTTGATTCAATGAAGGGTGATATTTGACGAACGTTCAATGATTATAGTATTTCTCAGTTGTTAATAGAGAAAATAAAAATTAGACAACTAATGATTTGTTATATATATATATTAAGAACACGCTTTTTATTGTGACCATATGTTCAAAATATCATTCAAGATAATTTGATATACAGAAATGATTTGATCAACAATAAAATTTTATGATTATCTCTGATAGATTTTGTAAGGAAATAACCTCACATAGATTCTTACTACTATCAATATTACAATATGGCTTAAAATACAAATCAACGTATCTAACTACTTTTATTTTAATAGCAATAAAATATATATTTTTTTCTCACTTTGCAGGAACTACCTCCTCGCCAAACCGGAAATGTAAGTTATTTACAAAAATTGTTCTGCACATATAAATAAGCGTATTTTAGATATATTTTCAATAAATAATTTCTTTCTTTTTGCTTTGAGCTAAAACTATAAGTGTTTCCCTAAAATATTCCTCATATAATATTTTTAATGTAAATTCATTTTACGACTTTAGCGGGACGCTCCATGTCCAAGGACATCAGCATCACAGCTACGGCATGTTATGCGAGTAAGTTGTAGTAAATCATATTTAAGTAATTTGAATATCATATATATCACATATTTCTCTACATTTTTAGATGCAGAGAGCTCGAAATATGCGTGAAAATAGTTGTCAACGCGTAAGTACAATTACTTTATCATTCTCACAAAACTGCAATTAAAATCACAAATACTAAAATAATACTGAATATAACAATTGATATCATTTCTAAGTGGTCTAAGTGCAAACTTCATTTTTAAGTAGACAAGTGCAATACCATCGTCATATTTCACAATTGTCGGTTTATTACTTTAATTCAATTTGAAAACTCAATCTTACTTGTAGAAGTCCATGAAAAGATTATTTGTGGAACCCTGCCAGTAACTTCATATTCTTTCCTGTAATATTGCAATTTCAAATCAATCTGGTACCCTTATGAATTTTATTCGATCAAATATTTTCACTACCTATACAGATATTAGAATAAAGGTTATAATATCATCATATTTCTGCTCACCTAGTTTTTTCTGTGCTTTGGACAAGTGGTTTGTGCTGATTTCGGCTCTTTTACTTTTTTGTATTATGGGTATTTTATAGCAGAATCCAAATCCTCATCGTCCATACAACTATGCATTTGCTTAAAGTTATGATTTCTGCTCCGTGATTTCTGATTTTTGAGATCTCATATGCAAAAATGTACTTGCTCATTGAAAGTTGTACGTTGACTCGCTTTTTGTAGGTTTTTTATGCCCCTTTGTGCAGGCTCTGTTCATATCGGCTATGTTACTAGATCATTAATAAGCAGTTTTTATTTGCACTTGCAATATCCAAACCCCTTTAATACTTTATCTAATCACACAATCAAATATTAGTGTTGAGAACAATCGCAGAAGAAAGAAAGACAGAATAGGATTCGTCAAAATAAAACCACAAACAATAATTTAAAATAATAAACAGAAAAAGTAATACTAAATTTTTTTTATATAGGGATCTCAGGGATCTCAAAGTATGTCTGTTGGGCCACGTCAATCTCAGTCGCAATTCTTAGCAGTGCCACGTCCCCCGGTAAGTAGTATTATATACTTATATACAAATACTGTTAACAACAATAGTATTTATAACTAAATATTGCAAGGCAATTAATATCATTAATATGTGCTGTGAGAGTTTTGCGATTAGTAAAAATTTTTCTCAGCAATTGAATACCTGCAGTGTTCAGAGTTGTTGGGCTTGTATAACCAACCTTCATTATTTTCCAAAATAGTGCCTCCAGACCAGTACCTCATACTACGCACTGACTTACTGTGGATACAATGGTGTGTTGCCAGTTATTTGTAGATTTACGGTCCACATGAACCCCATCACTGAAGAAAATTTCTACGAAATCGTTCAGAGATTGTTAAACGATACAGATTGCAAGATGGTAAATCTGTCCCTAAAGATATGATAGTTTGGATGATAATGTTGTCAAATCAGAACTATAAAATGGATAACTCATTGTATATCACAATTGATTGCATACACTATTATACTCATTTAGAAGTTCTAATGTTGAATAACAAGTAAAAATCTCTGGATTCAGTTGTTTGTTGTGATTGTTTAACTACATAGACTCTTTGGAGGTTGCTATTATATAATTAATCACACCTCAAAACTAATGCTAATCAATTATATTATATTCGAAGAAACTTCTAACTGAAATTACCACTTACTTATTCTAAAACAAACATCAATGTAGCGAGTTGTTGTTTGTTTCCAAAGGCATCCATTGGTATTTTTAAGGACAGCTTAACTTCATTACAATATGTTTAAATAAAAGTTTTTTAAAATTGACTAATAGAAACAAATTCTGATCATTTGCCTAATGTTATAATTTAATTATTTTTAATTTGCATTAATTTTCTCACTTTTGTTTCAATTATAGCGCCGAAGATGGGGCATTCCTATACGAGAAAATCAGAACTGCGTAAGCAATTAATATTTTGTATAAAAATTCATATTATAATACTGTACATTACATATAACACTAGTAAAATTAAACTAAATATTAGTAATTCATTAATTATAAGCATATTAAAGCCATGTTACTATTGTAAAAATATCAGCATCTTCATGATTTTTTCTTAAAGATGTGAATATTTTTAATATATATAAGATGTTAAAAAAAAAGTTTTATTTTAAAATAGGATGGACCATCATGGATTAACACTTTGCCTATAGTGGACGAGGTACGTACTAAAATAATATACATACATATAAATATTTTACTGCGCAAAATTTGGAATAAAATACATAAATATATTTAATAGTTTAAATACTAAGTATATACTTAGTGTACAAACTTTAAGAAAGAATTATCAGAATAATACAGAAAAGGTGTTGGACTTGGGGTTATTTATTTTTATTCAATTCATTTCTAAACAGAATAGAGAGGTATAAGAAATAAAATACATTTGTGCCGCTTCTAAATCAGCTACTTTTAATTCAGGAATTCTCCTGATGAAGGCAGAAGCGAATTTTCCGAAATACGTATAGAAATATAATAGAAATTGACGCTGGAAATAAAAATTAATATTCTTAAGAAAACAAAGCCGACTTTAAGGTCATATATGTTAACTTAAAGATATACCATTTTTTTAACTAAACATAGAGTTATAAAAATTAGTATCGTTCACATAGTAAACTGATAAAAGAATATTATCAGTAAAAAACCTGGTGAATATTTTTGTGGAGTGTATACAAAATATATAACCTAATTTGAGAGTTACTGAAATGAATAAGCATATTGAATAAATATAAATACATACTTTTACATAGTCTTAATAGCCATATCCTATTTTTAATCGAACTTTTATAGATCCAAGGCAACAGAATTATTTATTTTCTATTAAATTGCGTTTTATTTTTTATTTTTGAATTATTCCATCGAAATTTTTTTTTTATAATTTCAACTTTTATTTCGAAAGTTTATTTTAGTATTTGTTTGTATACTCGTATATTCTAATTTCTAGGAATAATTTATTTCAAATTATTTTAATTTAATTATTAAATACTTTCATACGCATAACTTAAAAAATATTGACAATATAATTTTCCATCTTAGGTTCAACATAATCAGACTACGGATGTAAGTTGAATAATTTATTAATCACGAGTTTTTTATAAATAATACTTTGTATTACTTGTTGATTTCAATAATCAACAAGTAAGAAAACTAATAGTTATATATTATAATTTCATTTTTTTTGTTTTTTGAAATTAGTGTTGTCCTGAAAGAGAGGAGGTGAGTGTTTTGAATTAATTTATTGTATTTATTGACATAACTTTTTGTTAACAAAGTGTTCATTATTTAAAGGTATATGTAAGATATTTTAATGAAAATAGTTTTTTGTCAATTCAAAAAATAGTTTTTATATAAAAAAATATTATACAAACAAATTTTCATATTAAAACTAAAAGACTATTTCTAAGAATAGAGTTCATATAAGCCTCAATTTAATAAACACAAAAAAAAAATATTCATTATATTATAAAAAAGATTTGTTCCCATTATTTTCAATTCTAAAACCCAAATCAGTTTTTATTAAGTATTAAGGTTGTATCACAATACTTGATTTACACCTCTCACTAAATTTTTATAAGCATAAGTACTAACCGTTTATCATATACATCGAACTGTGACCAAAACGACCGGAAAAAATATTCAAAATATATTATCCTAATTAAATAAACACAAAACTGCACTTAAGTAATAGTTACTTTCATAACAATCCATAAAACATTTACTTTCATAACAAACCATCATTCTCCTGCCATGAATCCATCATTATTTATGCTTATCTGATATACTGTTTAGTCAATAATAACCATTAAACCAATTTCTTATGTACTAGAAGACCATATGACAATTGCTTTTAACATTGTTATTCGGCAAATATCCCAGCGAAATACATTAACAATAAGCAATGGAACACCGTAGTACAGTAGAGATTACCAAATTCATAAAGATCTTTAAGTACTTTGGCATTTCACAAAATTTGACCAAAATACTTTCGACAATTTTATTTCCAACTTCTTAACTAAAACACTTACTTCGACTAGAGACTTAAACTGATCAGACCACCCCGTCATAAGTCAAACTTAAACTTTAGTTATCATTAGAACCCTTACTACTCTTTCTCTTTGCTCTTTCTCTTTTATCATGCAAGAACATTTCATCTTTAAACTATTTATTACTCTCTGTTATTTTCAGTCCAATTATAAATAGTAATGCCAAATATGGAATCGATGATCATTTCATTGTCTACATAACATAGCTTCTACGGTGTTTTCGGCACTTATACTTTCTGCAGCCGGTATGCCTTGTGCATGGCTGATCTAGCGAGTGATATTTGGGGAAAAACTTTCTCCAAAATTAAATTAAAATTATAAAAAATTTAATTTTAATAATTAATTTATTAATAAATTATAAAATTATCATGCTTTTGTAGTCAATATATACATTCCAATGTTGAAATTAGTGTATACTTTTGCATATGTTTAAGATTTATATAAATTACATATAACATAATATCATGCATTTTACACAAAATATAAAATTGAAGAAAAATTTTATTGTAATTTTAATAAAATAAAATTAATGATTTTAAAAAATTATATTTAAGGAAAAAATACGGGTATTACTTATGTTATTGGCACTATACATTACTATTTCATATTACTTTCCAACTACCATATATCATTTTAACAGTAGTTTTTCTAACAAAGATGATCGGAAAACGATAACTTTCTAACTCTAGTTATTATTAGGAAAACTATTGCAAAAATAATAACTAATAACTAAATAATAATTAACAATATTATGTATAAATAATTTTGTTTTATGTATTTCTTTATTAATTAATTTATGTTTTCAATATTTTAGATGTTTGACTCTTGCTAGGGTAATACGAGACGTCAATCAATTATCCATTGATTGATGACTTATATGAATCGGTAATGAATACTATATATTTGAAAAAGAGTTGGTCATTGGAACGGAGGGTTCACGCAATGAATAGAATTCCGAAACGAATTTCTTTAGATGACACTAAAATCAAATAGTATGTATACCATGTTATGACGTCATTTCAAAAATTATCTTAATTTATATTTTTTTGTTTTTTCAGGGGATGCGAATGGATTAACAGATTACTTTCATACTTAAGGAAATGGAATACTGATATTTTTGAAAACGTTTTATTTATTAATATATTTCATAAAAATACTTATATATACAAACTCAATAAAATATAAACAAAAACTATTTAAATTTTTTTTTATTTGCTTAATAAGTTTCAAGATTTGCAAAGTAAGGGTGTTTTATATTTGTGACAATTATCTGCTATTGAAAAAATTCATATATATATATCAATTAATTTTTTTGAAAATTTTTAAAGATAGTTTATTGAATAAAAATTTTTTAAATATGACACTGATATTTCTTTGCTGATACTATTATTAGATAATTTTTAACAAATTATCATGAAAATATCAAAGTAATTGTGATTACTTAAGTTATTGTAATTAAATAATTATTGAAATAAAAATGTTTGCAGACCCATTCACCATTATAAGCTATTAAAAGCCATCAATAAGCTAGTAGTATATTTTCCAGAGCTTATTTAGTAAGTGCAAAATATTCAGTGTGTTTTAACATACTTAAAAATAAAGTATGGAATATTAGACCAAAAACCCTTATAAATAAACTTCCCACAAGGGAAATTACCAAAATTTGAAATATGTATCATATTATTTTATATGTAGGTAAAATGTAAACAAACAACAGCTGAGCTATAAACAAACGCACTAAGGAAGTATTTAATAAAAGCTTTGTTTTATGTAATGGATATATAAAATATATATAAATAAATGATTTAATATATTAATTATATATATAATTTTTTGTGTGATATGTTATGAATTAAAGTATATTTAAACAAACAAAAGCTATCTTAGAACTTTCAAGAACTTTCTGACACATAAAAACTCTTTCACATCCAATAAGTAACTAACTATCAATAACTATCAATAGAGACGACAAAATCTTAAGTTACTCAACTAACTAACTAATAAGCAGTGGAAACTTGTTCAGCATATCTCGAAAAATACATTATTTGATAATAGTAATGATCAGATCAATGGCATTATTCCATCATACTTCTTCAAAAAGAAATGCAAATGTAGATCGTTCACAAAAATAATTGACTAAATTAAAAGTACGATGCAAATATAACGATATAGAATTTCCAAAGAGTCATAATCCTTTTGGTTTGATAAATTACTAATATATTGAATATAAAATCTTTAAATCAATGGGTCATGAAGTTTAAAATGTCCAATGTAGGTTTAAATTTATATATTAGATTATAAAATCCACGCTTATTAATAAATTTTTAGCTTCGCGAGAAGTTAAAATTATAATATAAGACAGAAATATTGGTGGAATAAAATTTTTTTATTATAATCTTATAGATAATTTCATGGCATTTTGACCGCCGAGGCTACGAGTTACATGATCCATGCGATCTGTCCAATTTTTAACAATTTTTTTCAACAAATGTGGCTGTATAGCGTCAATGGTGGCATGAACATTGGCTTCCAATGCTTCAAGAGTTGCTGGTTTGTCGGGTGCCGTAATCGAGAGACATTAAATCGCTCGAACAAGAAGGCCAGTTAACAGGACCACTTTCGGAAATAAAGTTGTTACCCAATTGAATTGCAATATATAGATTGTTAAACGCGCTAAATATCATTGATGTTTAACTGATTATTTTTGAGAAATTGCTGACAAAAACTCAGTTAGCAAAGCTCGAAAGCGCTAGGTATTTAGCAAACAGATGTTTAACTGATTAGTTTTGAAATTGCTGACAAAAACTCAGGAAAGCTTGAAAACACTAGGTATTTAGCAAACAGTCAACTGTTAATAGTTTAAAATCGGGAAGAGTAAAATTAGTGCGCAAACGATCAATAACTGCCCGAATTAGTTGATGGCCGATTATCTTGACCGTAAAATGGACAAGTTTCTCTATGAACTTCACGAAGAGAATTATGTTTTTCAAAGTAAATTTCCACAATTTGCAAGCGTTGCTCTAGCGTTAAATGATTCATAATAAAATGCCAAATCAGTTTGACATTCTCAGCTATCAAACCATAGTTATCGCTATCGATAGTTCGCATACAGCTAAAAAAAACACTCGATAGATGTGCCAGAGCTTAATTTCGTACATCAGACATTTCTATTCTGGCAGAATAGTCTGTTGCATCGCTACTGAGATTAAATTTTAGTCAAAATTTAAAATTGAGTTTTGTTAAGAAAAGCTGGCTTACACTGCATACAAGGCAACTGGTACGGTTGTAATATAAATCTTCATCAAAGGCGTTTATGATTTAATTAACAATGTCTAATCAGCGAATGTATGCTTTTCCAGGATCATATCATCCCCAACGAAATCTGCCGCTATATATCTTAAACGAGTTACCGGTCTAAGGTATATTTTTTAATTCTAAAGTTTTAGCACAACGATTATTAACACTTATAGCATAAATGAAGTATAAAAAAGTGTTTTTGGGGCCAATTTTTCAATATATATTTAAGTCTCGATTTAAGACAAAAGTGAGTTCTTCTTTTAATTGAAATGATCATATTAGTGTGCAATATCCAACACTAAAGGTCAGCCCTATTGTACGGATGTGTAACTTATAGCAAAGCCTTAAAAACTGCCATAAATTGCAATAAAGCAATTACAGATAGCACAAAATCTGGCTTTAAGAATACTAATTAAGATTCCTTGGTATATTAGAACAACAGACAAACATAGAGATCTAAAAATCGACTCAGTGAAAAAATATATCAAGAACAAAGCCCTAAAATTATTCACAAAAGTTGATACGTTGTCCTAAGCCGCTCTAACAAACCTTAAGTCCACCTCAGGACGCACAGGAAGATATACTGATCTACGGTCCGTCATCAGTTAGAAGATAAATAAATAATAATGATTCTAGTATAGTTAAAGTTTAGTGTGGGGCAGGGCTAAGCCCCCAGCCACTAAAGAGTGAAAATGCGCAATAGCACTAACTCAAATCACAGCAACAACAACGACTAAAGGATTAAACCACTTATATGTGTAATATAAAAATAAATCATTTTTTTTTAATTTAAAAACTTAAGCATGCTCATTAAGTCAATAAAATTTTCAATTTGAAAACATTAAATAAAAAAATTAATATATCTGTTAAGTTTTTGGTTTTAAATTCTCCGTTTAATTTTGGCCATAAATGTGTGAAATTCGATCAAAATTCTAAAATAATATAATTTATTGGTCAAGTATTGTTAAGTCTCAATAATCATGTTTTGCTTGTCTTAAGTCCACTCAGTATTGCTTACTCCATCTTATGATCGAACAATGAACCTCGATAAATAGTCGTTTATAATAATTTAAGAACGAAGAAGAAGTATGTGTCTTCACAGAGCATAAAATAAAAATAAAACAACTCCATGAGGTCATAATAACGTAAGTTATTATAAAATATATATATATATATATGTAAGCAACATATAAATGACTTAAATTATGATACATAAGAGTCGTTGCTTAGTGTTTTAAATGTCTGAATTAAACTATTCAGATAATTCGCAATTCACGCACGACATTTTATCAATGTCTCGCAGATCGCAGATATATAATTCTACATAAAAATATAAATATTTATTCGCTCGTATAATATGACAGATACATTTGCATTTAAATTTCAATTGTGCAGTTACCTACCACGGAAAGCATAACATCTGAAGTTAAGTAATCTGGCTTACATCACTTAAATATTTAATATCATTTGATGCAAATCTTTTTCCATGGAACCGCCTTTTTAAATTTTGAAACAGGTAATAGTCACTGGAGGACAAATCTGGAGAATACGGTGGCTGAGGAGACAATTTGTACCGTAATTCATTTAACTTTGG